GCGCAATCTTCAACTCGTGCAGCAAGTTGGGCATCGTCCACTCAGATATGTACTCAGAGCTGTTGTCATTTGCAAAACTTCGTGTCCCTCAAATGAGTCCAAGATCCCTTGCAATGCTGCTCCGCGGAATGGCCAGGGCCAAAGTTTCAAATCGGCAGTTGATTCGTAGCGCTGTCAAGGTGATCTCGGCGAAGCTCGTCGAGCTTGATGTGGTCGATGTTTGCGCTCTCTTTGTTGCCTGCGCTGAGATGAACTATCGGGATGCAAGGTTCATGCGGTTGCTTGCTGCAGTGGTCAGGTCAAGAATCGGTGAAGCCACTGGCAGTCAGCTGACAACGGCTTTCGCTTGCTATGCCCACATGCGCATCCAACATCATTCTTGGTTTGATGCGATGCTGTTCGAGCTCTTCCAGAGGCAGCATGAGCTAAGTGAGAAAGATGCCTCTAACATCGCATACGCAATGCTGCTTCTCGCCGCAGTGGAGAGGCACGAGAGGCCGCATGAGACGGCCGCGTCGGCTGGTGATACGTCTAAGCCGTCCGGGTATCCCTTCGATGCACACCGAGGAGTCTTGTATAGTATGCTTGCAATCTCCAGTGAACACAGAAGTGAGCTAAATTACCCAGCAGTGTATCAGCTGCAAATTGTGGAGCTCTATCTGCGTCTCTTGGAGCCAAGTGTTTACGATTCAATGCGCCAAGAGCTGAAGACCTTGCTTGCGAAGGCCAGAAAGGTCAACGTGGTAGTGGACGACTACATGCAGAACTCGAGTAGGTTGCATCGCAGAATCTCGCAGTGGTTTACACGTGTGGGGTTGCACCATCGCAGCGAGGTTTTCTTAGGGCCATTCATGCTTGACATGGTGATTGAGAACAATGTTGTTGTGGAAATTGATGGCCCATCGCATTTTTACCGCGACACAAGCACCAGAACTGCATCAAGCTTGCTGAAGCACAATCTGCTGAGGGCCATGGGCTTTCACGTGCATCACTTGCCGTACCAAGAATGGGAACAATGTGGTACGGCTGTGAAGCGCACCATGTACTGCTCTGCGTTCTGGAAGGATGTAGTGGCAGCCAGTGAAGATGACCATACTGTGAGCACTTCCGATTCAAGGGTTCCCGAATTGATCGACATTCTTGACCTGGTTCTGAACTGGCAGTCTGGTCAAGGGCCGCACCCAAGCGTTGCGCTCCTGGGAAGAAAGTTAGAACCAAAGCGGCTGCAGCAAAGCTTGCCGGCGGTACCGGCCTTCTATGTCGACTCATCAGAGGCATCAGAGGCATCAGAGGCAGAGGATGCTTTTGCCAGCCGAATGAAGTTTGACGTAGATGCCGAGAGGGACCAGGCAAGATCAGAACAGGAATTGCTGGCTGCTCATGCAGAGGCTGAAGTTGCATTGGAAAAAGACCGTCAACATAGCATCAGCTCGATCCAACGCACTCGTCTAGACTCCCGGCAGAAACTCGAGGAAAGCCACGGGGCTAAAGTGCACATGCCGAGATCTCGAAGGAAGGTCATCCGTCACTCAAGCGCAGGGTTGTTTGATTATGACGCTTTAGAGGAGTGCACAGATGACAGTTCCGACGAGGAGATTGAGAGCGCTGGTGGAAAAATCTCTGCTCCGGTCAAGTGATGTCAAGTGCCTCAGCGCATGCGGGTTTCATGTCTGCCGCCGTTTCATGTCACTGGGGACAAGGGACTGGGTGCTTGAGTCGAGGCGTTCCGGGTCACCAGTTCGCAGACAGAAGAAAACTTATGCTTGGCGTTTGCCGTTAGCCTGGCTCAAGCAAAGGTAGAGCAAAGGAAGGATGGATCCGTGATTTCCACAAGCTGCAGGTTGTTCGGCTTGTCATGCTTGTCACCATTTGTCACCTTTTTGTTAATAAGGTCTGAGAAGGATTTCCTTTTTGAGTTCTTCCCTTGACCGTGGAAATGCTTGTCCGAAGGGTATGTTAAAAAAAACGAACTCCACAACTTGTGGTTGTCCAGCAATGCGTTTTTTTGGGATAAGCCAAGACCATGACTACGCGACTCCCGAGCTGCAGCATATCATATTCGGGCAGCATATTCTTACATGTTGGGCCGACATGCAGACATTCTGAGTGCCAGATTGAATGGTTTCGAGTGGTTCACGTTTGAGTACCTTGTGCCTGGGAACTCAGCATTGTCCATCGCCCTTGTCCTCGCCTTTGCCCTTTTCTCTACTTTCCCTTTGCCTTTCCTTTGCCTTGGCCCTTGCTTTGGCCCTTGTTGTAGCTTCGTCCTTCTTCTCCTGCGACCCCATGAAACAGTCAGCAACAACCAAATTACAACCATTATTGCCGACGAACAACCCAAAGTGCTTTTGGATCAGCGTTGCCTTTTGTTCATCCAACTTCTGCGTCAGGCGGCCGTGCCACTTCTCTTGGGTCTCGGTCTTCTTATTTGTTGGACATCATTTGAGCATCAGTCAAAAATGCCGGCTCTTGTGAGTTACTTCGAACGGGACACCAAGTACCAAATCCCTGTAAAGCGACGGAACCAACCCACAATAGTGATGAAGGCTTCGATGCATCCCGTGCAGACCGTGCAATCCCTAGGACCCAGCAAGAGGATGAGGTGTTGAGTTTACGAGCCAGGAGCCAGGGGATGGGGGCTAGAATGGGCCAGGGCCTTTCCGAGACCCTTTGAGCTCCAAAACTGCCGTCGCTTGGGTATCTTGGGTGTCGCTTTCGGTGTCGCTTTGGGTGTCGCTCTGAAATCCAATCAAACAGCCTTTCCAAGCTATGAGGGGTTCAGACTGAGTTATCGAAGGGTTCGCAGCATTCATCTCGCAACATATCGAGCAAGCAGAGCGCTCGCGCCAAGGGCAACAAAACCCTTGTAAAGCCATGGGACCGCCTCAAAAGCGACTCCCCCTGACATGCGTCCAGCACCGTTAAGCACAGTTGAGACGGGCGCTCATTTGCGTACATCCGCATCCAAAGACTCGTAAATCTGTACAATCAAGTTGTGCTTGGCCTCTTGGTGAAGTTTCTGTTTCTTTGGACTTGTACTCGTTCTTGAAGATTTCAGTTGAAACCAGAAGCCAGCATCTGCAGCACCTTAGTTCTCGCTTTTGGCATTGGCTGATCTTTCGATCAGGTGCAAGGAATTCTGTGCAAGAGATTCTTGGGGCGTACATTTGACAAATCCTGGACTCGTGGTTGGCCACGTTCACCAATCCTCAGACGTCACCAGCGCCTTTATCTGAATCCAAGTGAAAAATTGAAACCAATTGTGCCAGTTGGGCAAGTTGCACCATCAGCTGAAGGCAGTGTCACATGCAAATTCAGGGCAACTCACTTCGGCCTTAGGCGGCATACCCGGGCATACGCAGCAATGCCCGGGCATACCCGGCCATGCCCGGTCAATCAAGGTCAAACCCGGTCATGCCCGGTCATGCCGGGCATACCCATACATATCCGGTCATGCCCTTTCATACCCGGACATAACCGGAATATTCTTTGACCGGTCATACACCTGGTCATGCCTGGTCAGAGTTCATGAGAGCCAGCAATTAGCAGGTGGGCATCGAGGAAGCTATATGGTGTCCACCTCGGGTGCGATATCTGGCCGATTATTCGGGTCTGCAGCCAGAGCCTCTGCTTCCTTGTTTGCAGGTGACATGTTAGGCATGAAGTCTGCATGGAAGGTCAGAAGTGTGCAGGAGCGGCCGAGCCGTGGTGGCAAGGACCTGCAGCATCCTTGCAGCATCCTTGCAGCATCCTTGCAGCATCCTGCAGCATCCTGCAGCAGCCTGCAGCACAGCAGCGCTTGAGATTGCCAAATGTGAAGCAGGGTGTCCGAGCCGTTGTGCCAACGAGACCAACGAGACCCACGAGACCCGCAGAATGCTCAGCCTGCTTCGCTAGCGCTGTTTTCAGGACATCGCAGTGTGTTACTCGTGTGATCCGGGCCACCGCTTCTTCTGGGAGGCTTGCCTTGCAGGAGTGGCAAGGGTTGGCCTGAAGTGTTCCTTTTCGTAGCACAAGTTTTGGGGAAACCTTCGAGTTAATGGTGGCAAGCCAATATGGGCGACTTGTCAGACACAGCTCACCCATGCAAGGCCCACTGCACATGCAGAGGTTGCATTCCCGGAATGCAGCTTGCTTTGCTGATTTTGGGGTGCAGTATGAAATCAGTTGAAAGTGAAGCTCAAAAGGTGGCCGTTTCTATCTGGCGAGAGAACAGACGCCCCTTCTGCGCAGATCAGTCAAGCAAATGTCAGGCATAAATGGTCAGTTCTCCCGAGTCTCGACTCGTGAGACAATTCCTAAATAAAGCACACTGCTGGGACACCATGGTGGTCCCTTCAATGGGATACATAAGTATCCTGACCACCTAGTAAAAGGAAGACTTGTTGCTGGCAGCCGCTGGGAGTTTTACTCTTTGAAGCTGCAACTTTCCGAGGCCGCTGCATCGTGTAGTCAGGCGTAGTCAGTATAGGATTGCGGTGAGCATGGACCGCGCGTATCGGCAGACTTGATATGCCGCAGTATGCCGCAGTGTTTTCTGGGGCTTGAACTTCAGGCTGTTGCGTGCTGCTGACGCATTATGCTTTCAAAGCCGTGTTGGTTAGAGCAAAAGATAGGAAAAGCCTTGACATCGATTGAGAGCGAGAGAGTATGCCTAATGGGGACCGCGCCCTGGTGCATGACCTAAGTTTTGCAGGCCCCGGCACTAGCCCTCCCCGGGTCGAAATGAGCTCTGACTGCCCTCAGGCATCCTTCAACTTTTGTGTTCTGTCCATTGAGAACAGAGATGAACAGGGCACAGATGGGCACAGCTAACCACGCCCACAATTCGAAGCCGCAACAATTCTCAAGGACTCCGTGGCCGACGCCGTTGTTGACGCCTTACCTGCAAAGACTTGGTTCTGGTATGTTCTGCTGTTCTCATTGCCTCGTCAGCACAACCTCTTGGCTAAGCGGCTAAGCCTTCGAGATCCTTCGAGGTTCGAGGGCGCGGGTCTCGCATGTATGGAGGTTCGAAGCGACTGTGCACATGTCCGCGCCTTGGCTTTACCTTCTGGAGAAGTTTGCAGGTTCTTTGGGAAGCCCTGTAAACGGAGGCTGGGGACAGCATGCGCGCTTAAATGGCCTGCGTTCTGACGGATCGACTTCATGCAGCTTTGTGCCATCAGGCGCCTTCAGCAGTGGCGGCAGCTTCTCTGGAGGCTTGATGACATGCCTCACAACGGCGTTCCGTTCCTGTCGTTGAGTCTTTGTGCGAATAGGCGGCAACCCAAGAGCTTCTGCATTTGCGCGAGCGTTTGACGTGGAGGCGCGAACAACAAGAAACAGAACGCGCTCCGGTGTGTTGTGTGCCGTTCTCTGCTTGCGTTAAAAAAAGACTTCTGGTGTAGGAGCAGGCGCCTGGTCCCATCCGACAGGTTCGCGGTAGGCCCGGTGCCCACAGTCAGTGCTGCGGCTTAGCAGGTGCTCGCGGCTAGCGATCTCAGCAAATCCCAGGCGTGACGGCCCATACGAGCTCTTGGTCGAGGCTGAGCTGGCTCCTCACCGATTGCAAGCGTCAACATGCAACCTGCATAATTTGCATAATCCCGCGTACGTTCCGACTGCACTAAGTGCCGACTACAATGGCTTCCCGAGATATTCGCAGTACGACTGGGATGAGCCAGAGAACTCCCGCCGCGTGTTTGACGCAGACTGCGCGCAATTGTCTGGACAATCTTGCAACAGCTTTTAAGTCCGTCAAGCGGGCAGACTTCATGTCGCGGCAGTTGGGAGCACGACCAGTTTGAGGGGCCCCAAACAGTGGGCTCTGCTGCTCGGGCCTTAGTTAGCTTTCAAAGATCAGCGCAGGCCAGCCAGGCTTCAATTGCGTATAAAGCCTGTTTGAGATGAGTGTGAGCACGCGGTTTCCTTTCAGTCGTCGATCTCGAGCTCGGCTGAGATCTTTGTGCGGAATCTGCCGCCTGGGGTGGAGGGACAGCAACTGAAGCACCTCTTTGAAGAGGCCGGGTGCTTTTGTTGCACTTCAAGCCCATGGTGCAAGACTGGAGTGACGGTCAAGTCCGAAGAAGTGTCTCTGCGTCAGAAGATGTCAGAACCCCCTCAGCCCATCCATCTCGGCCAAGGGTCCGAGAAAGCAGAAATTGAATCATGCCTCTGTGAACATCAATGCCATGCCGTCCATCCAAACCACCTATCCAGTCTCTGAGTAGAAGGTCTGTAAAACTTGAGAGGGGAGGCTGCGGGCAGCAATTTTTCTTTCAAGGGGCATGTAGGGCGACCTTTTGATAGCATGGCAAACCAACCTCGACGGCATTAGAAGCTTCCCATGAAATGTTCGTTGCATTGGAAGCTACAACCCGAAAGCTTCTCCCCTATCTCCCCAAACGTTTTCGTGCTGTCATCGGACTTGGCCCACTCCGTTTTCTGATATGGTCCTTTGTGATCTCTGACTCGGTCTTCCTTGTATTCTGACTTGGTTCAAACCGTTTTGGGCTCAATTTTACCCACTGAGCGGTCACCCCAGGGCCAGACTGTTCCTAGGCCGGGCAGATAGCCAACATCCAGGCGACCGTCTCAGTGTTGCAGACTTCTTCGGGGGTGCTCAACTCACAGTTCGGAGTTCATGAACATCTGGAGTTGCTGCCAGTGCGGCGGCAGAAGGCAGAAGGCACGAGGTCCTCGCATGTCCTCGCTCCCCACGTATAATACTACAGTAAAGTTCGCTGACGTTCTCTGAAGCATGCAAAAACGAAGAGCATCTAAGAGCGCTCAAGAAGCGAAAGGCGTATCGGAGAGAATTAAAAACGTAGCTCAGGTGGATCAAGGGCCGCTGCCAACGGCGACCATCGGCTATGTGCGGCAGGTCCTCGTTTCCCATTATTTGCTTCGGGGGAACATCGTACGACGTTCTACTGGTTCTTCTGCGCTCTGCGACGTTCCAATACGTTCACGTTCTTCTGCGTTCTACTGCATCCGACTACGTTCTTCTACATTCTACTGCTGCGTTCTACTACGTTCTGCTACATTCTGCTGCGTTCTACCACCCTACTGCGTTCTTCGGCGTTCTACTACGTTCTACTGCGTTCTACTACGTTCTAGATACGTTGTACTGCGACGTTCTACTAAGTTCCACTACGTTCGACGTTCTACTACGTTCTACTGTGTTCTACTATGTTCTACTACAACGTTGTACTAATACGTTCTGCTACTACTATTTACTACTTTGTTCTACTACGCAGCGCCACCATTGTCACGTCAAGAAAGCAGCTGCTCAGATTGCTCCAATTTGCTCCAGAAGCGTGCACAAATTTCATGCTTTCACAGAGGGCGTTGCCTTCGACGCCGCGGAGATGTTCCACGGCCGATGGCTTTTGGGACAGGAGCTGAAGGCTGCCTTCACTCCAAATGGCAGGTTCATGCCAGATTCAGACAGTCACATGTGCTTTTATCCCATACGAGCTGACGTGATTATTGGCGTGCAGGTAACCGTTAAGTCTGGAGAAATGATGTCAACGCCAGCAAGAAAAGTCGATGACGATTTCTGGCGCCAGGAGTCCTTGCCTTGGCACTGAGCTGCAGTAGCAAGCCATAGCAAGCCTTTTTTGCCACGGCCGAAACCACTGCACAAACCTCGTGGCACTTCCAGGCTGCGCGAAATGCGACAACAAGGTCACTTAACGCGAAACGATCCATGGTTGATGATGCAGTTTGGGGGGGAGGCCGGGGGATGCCCACCATCTCGAAGCTCTAATGCATTCTAATGCATGATGCACCATGATGCACATGATTTGGATGTCTGGGGCAGGGTGTCTGTGGCGACCTTGTCAGGATGGGTGGGTGGACTGGGGACGCCCCGGAAAAGGAGCAGGACAGCAATTTTGCATATGCGTGGTACTTGTATGATCTTGTATGGTTCGAGAATGTCTCTGGATGTTGTTCATCTTTCCAGGAAAGGGGAAGAAAGGGCGTGTGAAAGGCGGCACCTACAGCCCAGGCAAGGGAAGCGCACCTGCAGGAGGCCTGAGACTAGAGTGGGGGACTTTGAAATGTGTGTATTGGTTTTGGGTATCTTTAATTATTGTGTTTTTTTTTTTTGGGGGGGGGGGTTCTCGGGTCTGTCTGCGCTATATTTTGCTAGGAACACGTCTGTTTCCTCTACGTTTCAGCAAGTTTTCTCTATATTTCCGTAGGAAAAGCAACCTCTATTTTCTCTAGGAAAACCTTCATTTTCAATACACAACAGCTGTTTGCTGGTTGTCGGGTTTCGGCTTTTTGGCTCTTACGGTTCTCCGGCTTCTGATTCCCGGCTTTTGGCTTCTCGGCTTCTTGGCTTTTGGCCTCTCGGCTTCCTGGCCTTTTGTGGCTTTTTGGCCTTGTGGTTTCTTGGCTTCCTGGCTTCTTGGCTTCTTGGCTGCTTAAAGAACCTTATTTTACCTCACATCAATATTCTAGCACTTTATTTGATTTCACATCATATAGTATATTCGGTTCAGATTTATCTCTATACTCACATTATAGTATGCCACATTGTATTGTACTAATGTATAAAAGACATACATATAATTATATATATACACATATTATCAAATTTTTCTATTATATATAATATGTTGTATATGATATTTTTAGATGCTATATTAGATATTGGATGTTATCAATCTAAATATTACATATGCATATATATATATATATTGTATATTATATGGCGCATTATGCATCATAAGTTATGTATCATACATCGTATACCATATGTAATACATAACACAGAATGCAACATATATTATGTGTTATATATGTTATATATAACTCATTATGCTATGCGTTAATGATATGTGATATCACATATCATATAGTAGAAATTGCATCATTTTGATATGATGATTATATTCCCTTACACTGCAATAGATAAGAAGCCACGCAAACGTGCTTCAGAGCACAGAGAAAATAGAGGTTTTCCCTTTTAAACTATGGAGTCAATGGGGGCTTCTCCGATAAAACACTATGGAGAAGAAAGAGGTTTTCGAAGTAGATTGGAGAAAAAGATGTTTTTCCTACAAGGGTAGAAAACGCAACAGAGGTTTTCGTATGAAAACATTTAGGAGAAAATGGAGGCTTTCCTGTGTATAGAAATAGAGGTTTCCGATTAAAGCATAGAGAAAATAGAGATTTGTTAAAGAGAAAAGGAGGTTTCCCTATTGACGCATAGAGAAAGAAATGGTCTTCCGATTCAACTATGGAAAATTGAGGCCTATCCAAGTATGGAGAAATTTGAGGATTTCCTATTGAAGTATGGAGAAATGAGGTTTTCCTTTGAAATTGAGGTTTTTTTTACTAACATGTAGAGAAAAGAGAGGTTGTTGTCCTAGTGCAATAAACGAGAGAATAGAGGTTTCCCTGGTGAAATAAAGAGAATATAGAGGTTTTTCCATTGAACTAAGGAGAAGTTTCGTAGTAACAACTAGAGCAAAATCCAAAGCCCTGAAACAAAAATCCCGCCCCCCCAGCAAATCCCAAAATGGGTCTGGACCCCTTTGCAACAACTTTGTTTGAGAGCTGCAGGCATGCGGAGTGCATTGGCCTGGGATGATTGAGTGCTATCGAGTGCTAGCCCTGTCGCAGAATCCTGCAGCTTTATGCGCAGAATAAATCTGTGGGAGAAGTTGGCGAGCGTGTCTCCATGCGTCTCACTATTTGCGCACTCTGCCGGGATTCTTACCAGCTCTCTGGGAAAGGTCCTGGCTTCGAAAAGGTCGGTTAGATTAATGAGCAACGCGCTTGCCATGCAACTTGTTTTCATGTGGTGCTGCTGTCTCACGGAAGCCGTCTCAGGCTCACAGTGTGTCCAGCGAAGTGCTGCCAAGCTGGGCTAGGGTTAAACACGGCATACGGCGCAGACACTTTAGAAAGTCTGCTTCAACAGGCTGAAGCTTCAACTCACCAGTCAAGACCTCCATCTGTTGCGTGCGAACCCTGCGCAATAAGCCAAGTAGCTGCAGATGTCCAGTCCGGGATGAGACAGGCACTGTGAAGATATTAAAGGCTGCATTGCATTCTGGACTGAGAGAGGCTAACCTTGCAGATGTGGCCTGTCACCATCTCAGGCGGTAGCATTGCCCCGCAGTGCACAGCATGTGGGTGCCTCGTATGGCGCTTGCTGTGTGGACTGAGGAGCAGGTCAGGCGCATCGACCTGGATGATGTGGAGGTATTCATGTCGTTGCAGGACTGATGATCGCTTTAGAATATCCGCGTGGTCTGGGCTGGCCAAATCAAATTGGCAAGCATCTGAGGGCCATGAAAGCAGGCACATGCAGGCACTATCCCAAACTTTGCGTGCAGGATGCATTCGTGCTTGAACACCATTCGCTGACTAACAAGGTTTACGAAGAGGCTCGGCACGAGGAAGCTTGTTGGCTGTGCCTTCGGGGAAGTTCAGATGGGGTGAGGTGACGCTCCTCGATTGGAAGCATAGTCAGCGCCCCAATGTTCTCGGCGAGTACTGTTCCGGTCGGTGATCAGTTATGACAGTCTCTGAGGCCTGGTTTGCCCGAGAGAGCTTCTGGAAAAGCCAGGGGGTCGGTACCTTCGCATTGGCTTCGCGCAAGTTCTCTGAATTTCATCTCTTCGGTCTCGCCTCCGCTGTGAAAAACGAGTTTCTGACTGTGCCCACAAGCCAAGAGACGCCAAGAGTCGATAACTTCCCGCCGACAGAGATCCAAACCCGTAGTCAGCAACGCCAGACGGTGCACCACTGCGAAGTTATCATTCAAGATGATCTCGAACAGTCCCCTGAACACCGTCATTCAGAAAGAGCTCTGTTCACCGGACACATGGTTCAAGCAAGTTCGAGTCTTGGTGCCCTTTTTTCTGCAAGTCTTGTCAAAACCACGTGCTGTAACATCTTGTGCCTGTCACTGTCATCAGCGTCCGAAGCATGACGCCCTCGATCATATTGCCCACAGCAAGCTCAGACATTCTGAGCCGGGTGTGCTGGTGCAAAATAGTGGAACACGCAATGACACGGAGCATGATTTGATCAGTGTGAAAGCAGACACAAGATGCTGCCATGCTACACGAGACTATTAAATCCTTCGGTGCATGCTCCACGAGTCTGCGTCTCATCAGCTTGTCTTGAAGAAACGGAAAACATCTGCCGCTAAGTGCGTCTCCGGACACCAGTGTAGAGGTGAGTTTTTGACAGTCCGGAGCGATTATGGCAACAAAAGCCAGCACCTCCGCCCTCTCACGCTTGACGTGCAGGCTTTTTTTGCATCGCAGACTGGCTTACACCCGGTTCCTCGGTTCTGTCCTCTCTCGGGTGATGGGCTTGTTTGCTTCCAAAGTCCTTTTGGAATCTGCATGGCTGTGTTGGGACCGGAAGGGTTTTGCAGCCCGACTTGGCGCAGGCTGTATCTCCAAATGGCACCCACAAGACACCATGAAAGAGAAGGACCTCGGAAAGTGCTAAGTCCATACAACCTTCCAAAAGTTGAAAACTTACGTTGTGAAAGTGTTCGAAGCAGCTGGACATCCCATTCAGACAGTGAGTCGAATATCCCATCTTCGTGACTTCTTTGGAAGCGATGTGGCCGGTTTGGTTGGCAGTATGAGATTAAACCATCCCAATCATGTTTGGGCAACGCTTATTTCTGCTGCGCTCGATCCTGGCAAAAGGCCTTTCGGGCAGCAACAAGCGAATGCCCGTTGGATTCCTGATTTCCTTTCCCCAGTCTGATTCTTGTTCTCTCCATCTCTCTCTTCATCGATCCTCAGACATGTCGCTAATTCAGCCACGTCGACGCTCGTGAGGCTTAGAAGTAAGTGTCGGTAAAAAAGGCTTGACCATCACTTTTGAACACCATAACAGTATCAAGTCAAGGAAGAAAAAACGCTGCACATGGCAAACTCAGGTGGCACGCAGCCCATGATATGGATGCATCGTGTTTTATATTGTTTTATCATTTTTCATGTTCTATGCTTGTTAAAATGAAATGCTGAAATACTGTTCTTCAGGCAGCCTTGGGACGACACCTGGAACATGAAATGAGAGATCTGCAGTTGTGGAAGATGGTCTCGACATGAAATAGCCATGGGACACGCTGCATAGAGAATGTTGTGGGATCCTCGGGCTAGCAATGGAGATATTCGTTTTACCTCCCACCTCATCATTTCCCACTCTCAGTGGTTGCCTCAGCAGAGACACCGAGACATCTGGCCTCAAGGTTACAACGCAGCAAAGCTCCTCCGATATGGCCTGAATTGGCCTGACTTGCTCAGACCTGCCGAGGCCGACGCGAGCAAGTCGTGAGTATCGTGAAACAGGCCAGTGTTGGTGCATGAGCAAGCTTAGTCAAAGCGAGACGTGACAGGACCACCGGTACTACCGCGACTTGTACATATTGCTCGCACGAGAGGGCGACCGCGAGGCGGAGCACGGGGGGGAACATGGGGGAACATGGGGGAACATGGGGGAACATGGGGGAACATGGGGGCACACAGCGCGGAGCGCAGTTGCGAGTGCAGCGGCTTCTGAGAGCTGGTTTCTGAGATCTGAGAATGGCTGAGTCTTCGCCCTTAGGCTGGCTACATCATGTACCAAGTGCACAAGGGGAAGAGGACGGAGAAGTGCAGCTCTGCATGACTTTGTGACATGCTGTCCACAGGCAGCTGCACCATAGTTTAAGAGCAAGATAGAGCAAGGAAGGATGCTGCTCCGTCGGCATATGTTGAGGCCAACTCATCACGACCGTACTGGGTCTTCCTGTAGCACAATGTCAATACAGTGGACAGACGGTGCCGCAGGTCAAGCAGATTTTTGTTGAAATGGAGCTACGGAAGCGTGGATTGGGCAAACTCTTGGTGGATGGTATGATGCAGGCCAAGCTAAGCTGAGTCACGTGAAAAGTTTCTCGATTCTCGCCCGTTTACATGTCACCCGCACTTACCCTTCATGTTTCTTGGTCTTCTGTGGTCACCCCTGCTCCATTGTCCCCCTATTTGTTCCCAAGCAGTACTTGCACTTTTTGGATTCTTACGTTGAGAACTAAGCGAGTTCGATCGCGGCAGACCCAGCCTCGAAATCGATGCTATTGGCCTTGTGGCTAGTGCCAAAAATCGCGCTCTCGCCTTGGTCCCGTGGTGCTTCCCGTGCACCTTGTGAAGTGCAGAACCGTCGTCGGCTTCGGGCCCTGTGACGAGTGGTCTCGGTCCGGGTCTAAGAAGTGATTTGAAGTGCGAACTCTTGGGGGAGGGGGGGGGGTAAAATATTGGAATTTGTTAGCGGGGTGACTTTGCGGTGCGGTGCAGTGCTCTTTGGAGTGGTCTTGGCTTGCTCTCTCGTGATGTTCCATTGGAATTGCTTACTTGAATTCTGGAGTCTCACAGAGTCTCACACTGTTTTGATCTCTTTGGGGTCTAGGCCGACATGATACTACGCAATGACCTGCGGACGCCGGGTGACGTGTCTTCACAGCTTGCATCTGATTTACCCCACAATGTGCTCTGAATTCCCTTAGCTCAACTTAGCTCCTTATCTCCCATTCCGGCTTGTCACCTGCGGTGCGCTGCAGAGTCTGCAGAGTTGACAATTCGGTAGGAACCCGTCCTCCTTGTCGTCAGTGACTCTCACTTGGATTCGTGCGTTCTTCACGAAAAACTGTTTTAGAAAGGGCCGTGGAATGGCAACGCAGGGTGAAGGGAAACAGATAGTTCAGATAGTACATCTTCATGTAGCAACAGGTTTTTCTCTTGTTGTCAAACAGGGCTGCGGGTTCGGTGTTTTTTAGCCGGTAAAGGTGTTTCTGGGCTGTCAGGTGTGATTCTGGGTAGACTCAAACCCTCAACCCGCTGCCCTTCAAACGGGTGCTCAAGCCTGTCTGCCCTGGCCTGGGTGGGAGGGTCAAGCCTCCCAGCAGGGGGGCAATTCACGGGGGCTTTGTGGGGCTGTCTCCTGCTTAGGAACCCCCCCCCCCCCAGGACCCCCTGCACGGGTCTTTCTCAAGCAGGGGCCGGTCGAGGCCTCAGGAGCTTTTAACCAACAAAGCCCCAAGAGTTATGTTGCTGTGGGTTGAAGAACCCGATATCCTAAAAGAGAATACGTTGGGTGGGAAAAGGCACGCTGGGGTATAGCAAAATCCATGTCAGTCTCATACTTCCCAGTTTCCAGCTCAAAGCCGGGAGGCTCCCAAGACCCCGGGCCGGAGCCCCCAAAACTAGACTTCACACCATTTCACACCCTTTCCCTAGAAAGGACAAATGGATCCCATTACTCGCGTCCGCAGTCGCTCCAAGGCTCCGCGGGAGGCGCAGCTATCGCATCCAAAGCTGTAGCCACAGCCAACGGGCCAACGGCAGCGTGGAAACGAAAATGCATGTCGAAATGAAACCTTCAGGAGGAAAGGTTTACGTTGGTTCCCGGGCAGCGGTTCGTGGTTTTTCTTTACATTAGCTCTGGCTCGTTTTCGTTGGTAACGTTGGCAACCCACCCTCCGGCTCAAGCCGCCGCATTTTACTGTAGGTTTAGGCCCAGGCCAGAAAGTTTCTACCTAAACCGTTTCTAGGGGTCCTCAGACGGTCCCAAGAGGTTCACCAGGCTAGCTCCTTTGAGCTTGCGGGAGTTTTCGTTTACAACCTTCTTGTTTTGGGCAAATAGGTCTTGAGGGCCTGAACTGACTGATATCTTAAGGGGTTTAAGGTCATACGGGGGCGAACGGCCCCCCTCGCCGGGCTGCGTGAGTGAATGACCACACGTGTTTTTGATGATGTACGAACAGTTCAAGTTCTTCTGTGCACACCCCAGGTCGCAAGGCACGTCAGTTTATACCACAATTTCACCCAAGCAGTCAAGCAGGCAGTTGAAGGACAAGCATGCCAAAAAATTCGTCTCAGTGCGCAATCCTCAGCTGAGAGTGAGATGCAGGGACAGTGGCATTTGTAGCGCAGCTGATGCAACACGAAGTTCGAGGTGCTGGATTTGAATGATGAGGCTACTAATTGGCTTTGTGCCCAGACGTTGCTTGATTTTCGTGGGCATCCTTGTGGAAACTGTACTGGCTTGTCAGGTATCGCAAACAAGGCTTTGTGATGATTGGTCTCGTTTGGGAGTATATTGGTCCGAAAGAAAAGTCACTGCTGGTTGCCTACCAGGCCTTGTGAAAGTTTTCTTAAGTATGATCTCGCACGCTTCAGGTTGCACTTCTTGTAGCTTCTTGACACCGGACCAGGTCATGGAGAAACCCACAGTGCTTCAGCAAGCAGCGCCGGCCACTGAGTCCTTCAAAGTCTCCACCCTCAACCAGCAACGCAGTATACAGATTTTCGGCTAGGGTATGCTAGGGTGAAACATGTTCATCGCAACATGTTCATGGCATGAGCCGCTGGTGTATGTATGTAATTGCATGGTTTTTGCATGTGTATCTGATTTTGTATTTTGATTGTGGTGGTGGAGGTGGTGGTGGTGGTGGTGGTTGTGGTGCTGGTTGTGACTGTGGTTGTTGTGGTTGTTGTGGTTGGTGTGGTTGTTGTGGTTGTTGTGGTTGTTGTGGTTGTTGTGGTTGTTGTGGTTGTTGTGGTTGTTGTGGTTGTTGTGGTTGTTGTGGTTGTTGTGGTTGTTGTGGTTGTTGTGGTTGTTGTGGTTGTTGTGGTTGTTGTGGTTGTTGTGGTTGTTGTGGTTGTTGTGGTTGTTGTGGTTGTTGTGGTTGTTGTGGTTGTTGTGGTTGTTGTGGTTGTTGTGGTTGTTGTGGTTGTTGTGGTTGTTGTGGTTGTTGTGGTTGTTGTGGTTGTTGTGGTTGTTGTGGTTGTTTTGGTTGTTGTGGTTGTTGTGGTTGTTGTGGTTGTTGTGGTTGTTGTGGTTGTTGTGGTTGTTGTGGTTGTTGTGGTTGTTGTGGTTGTTGTGGTTGTTGTGGTTGTTGTGGTTGTTGTGGGTGTTGTGGGTGTTGTGATTGTGTTGTGATTGTGTTGTGATTGTGTTGTGGTTGTGCTGCTGCTGCTGCTGCTGCTGCTGCTGCTGCTGCTGCTGCTGCTGCTGCTGCTGCTGCTGCTGCTGCTGCTGCTGCTGCTATACTGACTGTTGTTGCCATGGTGGCCTTGGGCCCTTGCATATAGCGGACGTGAGGGGTTTTCGCTTTGCGGCTCTAGACGAATGTTTTCGTGACGCTCCAAGGAATCCGTCCCACTTCCCACCATCCCCCGCCCGAGCACGACATGTACACGTAACAAGCGACTAAGCCAAAGACGATGCCCCAAATACCAGTGGCAAGAGTAGTGAGAGACACATATCGCCAAACAAAGAATGAAAAGTATCTTTCTATTTTCAGATTTTTCAGGCACATCCTTGTTCGTCGCAAAGCAACCCTTACCAACTAGAAAACTTATGCTAAGTTCTGCAACAGGCCGGTCGCCCATGGGGGTGCTACGTAGTGGCGCCTGACGCCACGTTTCTGACGCCACCTCGCTGACGACACGTGAGTCCTGACGCCACGTACGCTGTTGACGCCACGCAGTGACGCCACCTCCGGAAAGGACAAGCGCAGCTTTTCGCACGATTTCTCGTTTATATCTGCCTCCTTCGGTGCCTGTGACGCCACTATACGTGATTTTTAGATGCCGCGTTGGGCGGCGCCACCTGATTCTGTACAGGTGAGCTATTGACGCCACGTTGTGGACACCACGTCCAATAACACCACGCGTCTTCGCGACTTCGCAATAATTCGACACGACATGTCTGCATGACGCCACGTGAGCAAGTGACGCCACATTTGGACGCCGGGTCCGGCGACGGCACGTGGCTATATAAGTGACACCACGTGAGCTCGCGACGCCACGTCTGGCGACGCCACGTGTCTTCGCGACGGCACGTGAGCTAGTGACCCCGCGTTTTGACGCCATGTCCGGCGTAGAGCTGAGGACTTCAGCACTTAACATTTGAGGAGGCTCTTGCCCCTTGGCTAAAGGAGCTTGGGTTCGCGTGCGCGCGCGTGCGCGAGAACCCAAGGGTGGAAGGAGGGAGAGGAGGTGGAGGAGGGGGAGAGGAGGGGAGGAGGGGGAGGAGGGGGAGGAGGGGGAGGAGGGGGAGGAGGGGGAGGAGGGGGGGAGGGGGAGGAGGGGGAGGAGGGGGAGGAGGGGGGAGGAGGGGGAGGAGGGGGAGGAGGGGGGGGAGGAGGGGGAGGAGGGGGAGGAGGGGGAGGAGGGGGAGGAGGGGGAGGGGGAGGAGGAGGAGGGGGGAGGAGGGGGAGGAGGGGGAGGAGGGGGAGGAGGGGGGGAGGGGGAGGAGGGGGGGGGGGGGGAGGGGGAGGAGGGGAGGAGGGGGAGGAGGGGGAAGGAGGGGGAGGAGGGGGAGGAGGGGGAGGGGGGGAGGGGGGAGGAGGGGAGGAGGGGGGGAGGAGGGGGAGGAGGGGGAGGAGGGGGAGGAGGGGGGAGGGGGAGGAGGGGAGGAGGGGGAGGAGGGGGAGGGGGGGAGGAGGGGGAGGAGGGGGCGGAGGTTGGGAGGAGGGGGAGGAGGAGGGGGAGGAGGGGGAGGAGGGGGGGAGGAGGGGGAGGAGGGGGAGGAGGGGGAGGAGGGGGGGAGGAGGGGGAGGGGGGAGGAGGGGAGGAGGGGGAGGAGGGGGAGGAGGGGGAGGAGGGGGACTAGAGAATCAACGTAGGCATGGTGCTAGCAGTTTCATAACCGTTTTTGCTCGGCAACGTCAACGAAAGCATGACCGTGCAGATGCTATGCGTGGCACAAAGGAATATCCCAACACGCCAGCACCGGCGCAACTTAAAAATCTTGATCTAAGCTGAGGCCTATATGGCGCGCGCGCAGTTTTAGAAGCCTCGCCCGCCCGAACCCAAAGGCGGGAAGGGGGTTGTAGATGTTCAGGTTTGAAGGTTAGGACGAGGTTGGTTCCGAAACAGGATGGAGAATCGGAGTCCCAAGGAAGCTCCGCATGTGCTCACGGCTTGGTCCCCCGTGGCGTGTCTTTACCAGCGCTGCTGCGGGAAGTGTCTTCGCGATGCCACATGTCCTCGCGATGCCACGTGTTTTCGTGGGAGCTGTCTTCGGGAAGTGTCTTCGCTTGCCCACAACCACGTGTCTTTGCGCGAGCTGTCTGCGGGAAGTGTCTTCGCTTGCTCGCGTGTCTTCGCGATGCCACGTATCTTCGCGACGCCTCGTGTCTTCGCCGGACCTGTCTTCGGGAAGAGTCTTCGCTTGCCCACGTGTCTTCGCGACCCTGGTCTTCGCCGGACCTGCTTTGGGAAGTGTCTTCGCGACGCTGCGTGAGTCTTCACTCTATTGGAGGCCCACCTGTTTGAAATGTCTTGGCTCTACTGTTCAATTGCTGATCTCGTAAAGTGTCTTCTGACTAACGCTCACATGTCTTCGCGACGCCACGTGTCTTCGCCGGGAATGTGTCTTCAGACGCCCATGTGCCTTCGTCGTCTGCGCCTAGCATGTGTCTGCTGACGCCCCAGGTGTCTTCGCAGATTGTTCTGGGGAGCCGGGGTCCCAAACCCCACATGTCTTCAACATTTTGTTTTTGGTCTTCGCGTGAAGTGTGCACACCCCCCAGGAGACCGCAATGGGGTTTGTTGTTTTGAAGAGAGCCTCTCTTTAACACAGAGAGAGGAGTATAAAAGACATGGAGGAATAACTTTGCAAGGAAACCATTTTATGAACACACCGAACCAAGGGGACTTTGCATTAAACTTCGGAGAAATAGAAGCCTAAGAAGAAGCACAGCTTTGCCAGCTATATAAAAGCTGGAAATTTAAGTCTGAAGGACGTTTTGCTCTCGGCGCCTGGAGAATTTTGGTTGAGCACTGAGAGGAAAGAGATCTTTTACTTTCCAGACGGGACATCCTCTTTGTTGTGTGGGCTTTGAAAGAAAACCCTTGATTTCCTCTCACTCAAACTGGAACACGTGCATGGCTTGTACTTGCAGGCATGCTTGCACTTGCGAGTATGCGTGCTATTGCGTGCTTACAGAGGTTGTGGCTTTGACTCTTCTGTCTCTCGAAGCCTCAACCAAGCACAGTTTCACTTAGGACAGATCGCGTGATCTTCTTCCGATCTGAGATCATTGGCGAGGTCGTTGCAGCTGTGTGCATGGAACACATAACTGACATTAACTGACATAACTAAACCCAATCCTGAGAGCATGCTCAGGTTATGACCATCATCTATCCAGATCACTCTGGTCCGTTTGATGTGGGCGACTCTGGGTCGGTGGGCGTCGGTGGGCAGTGGGATGCAGTGGGTCTCGGGAGACAGCAGTTTGCAGTAATACAGGTGATCATCAGGGGCTGGATGGAGCCGTGGCCTTTGCCAGACAAGCGTGACACAACTGCAACATCGATGATGTGCGTGGACACTTCGTCGTCTCAGGCCGTTGCTATCTGTTTGTTGCTTGTGCAGCGTGAAGCCTCGATTTTTTGTGCAAGGTCTGACCAGCTGCACATGGTTGATTCAAGGCATTTCTCCTTATGGAAGGCTCCTCTGGAAGCAGATTGAAGCTATTGCGCGCGGACTGTTCTGCGCCAGGGGTCAAGCTTTACAGATCTGTTTGACATCAATTTGGCCGTACAGCATGGTCGGGCAACCTTCCGCAGGAGACCTTGAGATTCAGAAATTGTCGATGGTTCCTTTGCCGACCAGTGAACATGTGACTGAATGTTGGGAGACAATAGTTTTCTTTTCTCCTTCATCAGGAGGCTGTCACTTCTGCTGCGAGACGTTGAGATGACAAAAGCTATGGTTAAGGAGGTCAAGGTGTGGATGCCTGGATCGTGGATGTTTGTGGATGTTAACGGGGACAGATCCTTGTTCACACAATTGATAAACACTTGATGCAGCTGCAGGCGAGGGAGAAAGAACATCGAGCTTCCAAAGTGAAGAAGGACACTGCTTTGTGCAGTATGCAGGCAGTGTGGCAACCTCCCAGAACCCGTAAACCCTTCAAAGCCCTTGTTGGGGAGTTAGAGAGTCACGTGGAAAAAACAAAAGGAGATGGGAGAGGGACTGGCAATACCGAAGCTCAGGGACTTCGGACTGGGCTGAGTGCACGTGCCCAAACAAAAGACGGGGCGAAGGACATGGCCTTGACCCTCAAATGGAGATGGGGAGTGGAAACCTCAAAGATGGGGAGAGGAGAAAATGAGATGGAAGGAGATTGTTTGGAGATTTACAAGTTACTTTCAGCGTTTCTAGAGTCCTTTAGCAAACTCAGAAATGGAGATGTCACAAATGACCGAGATGAGCACGCACAAGCTGGCCAGAATAAGGGACAAGTGACCTCTTCGATTCAGTGTCTGCCAGGACAAGAAGAGAGATGGCCAACGCCGCCAGAAGCTGTCGATCGTTTGATTGCCGCAAAGAAAAATGCTCAGCATTGACGGCGGGTCTCATCGAGTGCCACATGGCGCCATCCATCGCAGGGGCTGAGCGTTCTCGCAGTTGCGCCGCCACGTAGCATCATGTGCAGCCGAACAAATGATACTGTGCTTTTTTGAGTTGTATTTCTGATAGCACTCGAAACAGCATAACAACTAGGGAGCAACGATTACATGCGCTGCAGTGGTGTGACAGCCCAGAGCCATCACCAGAGAGACATTGAAACAATATGATCGGATCTGTCTGAATTCATTGACAGCCATGACGGATCCTCGCAAAGAGTACATTGTACAGTGCATCATCAGCGTTCTGAACATTCCACGCAACGAGTTCCGAAGCAACACAACTTCCAACACTGCTTTGGAGAAGTTCCTGGATCATCCAAATGAGAAGATCCTTCAGGCCATTGAGAATGATTCAGGCGATACGTCGAAACGGACGGTCACATTCCAGTTAGGTTTCTCGACCTATGTGGAGGGACTCCCGGAGATGCACTTTGTGAAAACCTCGTACGAGCCTCTGACAGAGGCAAACATCTCGAGACTTGTGATGGTGTCGTCACTCAGAATGTCTGCTGTCCGGAGCCTTTACTACAACGTACGTGAGGTTTTTATGCCGCTCTTGGTTGAGAAGGCCGAGACCAAGGAGACTGATGGACTCGAAGGCCGTTTGACAGACTGCCTGGTGGAGCTGGATGCGGGCCTCAAAGCTTCTCTCCGCCGTGGGTTGCGGAGTCGGAACGCAGGTGAGTTTGATGACAATGACATGTCCGGGATCGTAACCCCGGTGGATGAAGTACACTTTTGGGAAGAGCTCAAGAATGCAACGGGTGTGGGTGATGCTGCAGTCGACCGTGCCAGCAAATTCTCAGATGCCCTTGCCCCTATTGCATCTGAGTTGGACGAGCTGACCAAGAAAACGTTTCCCCAGCTGCTTGAGCTTACCGAGACACTCATGGACTCTTTGGATTCCTTGTGGCAGTGTGATGTGACACCTCCGTATCCAGCGGCTAGGATGCTTCATTTCTTGAGAGTGATTGCCGGCGCTCTTGGTAGATGCGTCCAATCCAGATTGAATAGTCTGAACGTGTGGACGTCATCTTTCTCCCAGGTGTCCAAGCACATCCGCGAAGGACACAAAGTGTGTGAGCGCTGGAATGAAGTCTCAGTGGATCTGACCGACGTGCAATGGAGGTCAAGTGACAATAGGTGGGAAGGTGAAGCCTACAAGGACCCCTTCCTGTCGAATCTGGCCAGTCGGATCCAAGAAGTTAGTCAACTGCGCGGCCAGCATGATCAGATCCTCAAGCTCCTCAGCGAGGATGAGCTAAAAGCGATGCAAATCGAAAGTTGCTTCGAGCCCTTCTTGAAGTTGTCCGCCTTCAGCTACAACGACTACACGGTGCCAGCCTGGAGGACTGCCCTTGCGGAATACGAGGCACGAATGGCACCTGTTGAAGCTCAAGTTGCTGAGCGTCTCCGAGCCGAGCTTTTCACAAACACATCCAACCCAGCACAGACTGTGCGAGTCTTCCAAAGATACCAAGACTTGTTGGAGCGCCGCAACATCCGGGAGTCTTTGACCAACGAACGCGAGAGGCTGCTTACGGAGCTCGATGACTTCCTCGGCCGAGTCCAGGCAGAGCTCGAGACGTTCGACAGTGGCAGCCTTCCAGCCGGTCGAGGCCTGAGCTTGCATGCAAGGAAGATGGTATGGGTCGAACACTTGCGGAGTAAAGCTGATTTGGCAGCTCGACCATTGGCTGGTTTTCTGAAGGACTTGCATTCTGCGGGAAAGGTCGGCAACACTTATAAGAAGGTTCGTGCTGAGCTGAAGGAGTTCCGAAACAGAGCGTACAAAGATTGGTGCGACGAAGTTGAGTCACAGTTGAAGGACCCGGATGACCCAATTGCCCTTGAAATGAACAGCCGAGTGATGGACTTTGATACAGCGCAGCAGGGGGCATTGAAGATCACGTATTCTGAACGATTGATAGAGCTCGTCAAAGAGGCTCGCATCTTCGAGCAGCTGGGCTGCAATGTCCCCAACAAAGTGAAGCTCGCAGTCCAGGATGGCCTGAAGTTCTATCGCTTTGCAGTGCAGCTAAAGCAAGTTTGCAACTTCTACAACACACTGTCGGCAGAGCTGCTCCCGTCACAGAAGCTTATGGTCTTGCAGCCAGCCCTTGCCTTTGAGCAGCTCTTCAACGAAAAGAGTGGAATGAAAAAAGTCCAGTGGAACAAGTTAGATCAGCTGGAGGCATTCACCCGAAACGTCAAAGATGGAGCAGAGCGGTTGCGGGCAGTGAACAGGCGCCTTCGCAACGGTCACGCCCAGGTGTCGCAGGAAGTTGTGCAGTTGGCAAACATCAGCTTGCTCCGTCAGCGAGACCAGTGGAAGCAGAAGCTGGCACAGATACAGAAGGCCATCGATGCCACAATCGGAGCTTGTGGCTGTCAAGTTCCGGATGCAAAGCCATGGAAGGCCCACTGGGATTTCCAGATTTTCAAGATCATGGAGGTTCAGTACCGCTTTGGCCTGGAAAGCCTCAACGAGAACTTGCCGGAGATGAAAGCCGACTTGATCCTTGCCCAAAAGCAGCTAAAACTCAAGCCGCCGTTGGAAGAGCTGAAGTCTTTGTACTTCAAGGAGATAAAGTCCTTCATTTCACTGCCGCTACAATTCAAAGGTTTGGATGGTGCGCCGCATGTGTACAAGGCAATGGCAGATCGCAATGCAGAAGGCATTGCAGTTGTCTTTCAGAAGGCAGATGGGCTGTTTCAGCGTGTGCACCAACTTCAGAACTCGTTTTCGCCTTGGCTGGTGGTGGGCTTGATGCCGGAGCGTGTTCAAGAGCTCGTCGAAGAGCTCACTGAGCCCAAGGACTGGGACCTGAATTTCAGGGCCATCAAAGCGAAACGGAAGGAGATGGACAAGATCCCAGACACAGTGAAGATCGACTGCTTTACAATTAGCACAGTGGTTCTGAAGTCTGTGATTGAAGATCAGCTTGAACGATTGAGTGATGCACTGATCATTGCATTGCGACGGAAGGCATCTGATGAAGCGAAGTCCGTGATGCAGTTCTTGGAGCAGGCTCTTGAGAAGCTGAATGTCCGTCCGGACACGGTGCAGGAACTTGGCAAGGCACAAGCCGATGCAGCAATCCTCATGGAACAGCAGTCGGATTGGAAGAAGCAGCTGGACGCTGCTGAGGAGAAAAACAAGCTCCTGAAAACAGTTGGCACGGGCATTGACATGAGCGAAGTGCAGAACAAGTGGGAGGACTTCCTGATTCGTTTGGAGGCGTTTGAGCAGTTGGCAAGCGACCTGCGTGAAGAATTGCGGGGCAAGATGGATCAGCGCATTGTGCAGATGAACAGCGATATTGAGAAGTTTGCATCCCGCTGGCAGTCATTGAAACCCAAAACGGCCGATGACTGCTCCATTGAGGAAGCGAAGAAGAACGCACAGCAAATGCAGGAATGGCAATCAGAGTGGCAGGCCCTAAGAGAGCAGATGACAGTGCTGCAGGGTGACTGTACTGACTTCGGCCTGCCCCCGCCAGAATTAGCCAACACAACAGACGTGGAAGAGGACTTGAACAGGCAGCAAGCAAGCTGGAGCCTCTTCGAAGAGTTCACAACGCAGTACGAGGAGTTGCTTGTGCAGACTTGGCTGGAATTGAGGCCTCGCCTCTTCAGTGTTCAAGATCTGGCACATAACTGGCTGTCACGACTACGGGAAGTTCCAAGGGATCCCGTGACGCATATGCTCTCGCAACAGGTGCAAAGACTCAATGCTGCTCATCCTGCCCTGAAAGCGATGACAGGTGAGCCATTCGAGAAGGACCATTGGAAGATCCTCTTTGGACTCTTGAAGCTACCTGCCGACACCAAACTCGAGGCACTCACCTTTCGCATGCTGGCCGACAGGTTGGACACCATCGTTGAAAAGGTGGATGAGCTAAAGGAGTTGACTGCACGAGCCATCGGAGAAGTCACAATCCGAGATGCAGTCATGGAGGTATCGGCTTGGTTTGAGCAGGCGGAGTTCAATCTCATGGACCATCCTGTCAGAGGAGGCTTCGTTCCTTTAATCAAGGACTGGAAAGACTTGATGTCAGAGGTGTCAGAGAAACAAAATCTGTGTGGCTCGCTGAAAGACTCACGATTCTTTGGACCGTTCAAAGATCAAGTGGACAAGTTTGAGGAGAAGCTAACACTGCTGGATGAGCTGCTGCTATGTATGAACAAAGTCCAGCGCAAGTGGGTCTACTTGGAACCAATATTTGGTCGAGGTTCCTTGCCACGGGAAAAAGAGCGCTTTGACAAAGTCAATGGTCAGTACCGGCAGATAATGAAGAATGTTGGCGCGGCCAAGAAGGTAAACTATCTCTGCACAGTTCGAGGCTTGAAGGAGCAGTTCACGACGCTTTCGGACCAACTGGAACGATGCCAGAAGGCTCTGAACAGCTTCCTCGAAGAAAAGCGTTCTGCGTTCCCGCGCCTCTACTTCATTGGAGATGAAGACCTTCTTGAGATTCTCGGGCAATCGAGCAACCCAGAAGTTATCCAAGCCCACCTGAAGAAGCTTTTTGCTGGCATTGCCACAGTAGACTTCGACGAAAACATCACTCGCATTGTGGCAATGAACAGTTCCTTGAAAGAAAAAGTTCCACTCGGCAATCCAGTTGTTGTCCGAGAGGGCGAGGATCCCCTGCCTGTGGAGGAATGGCTGTCGAACCTGTCGAACGAGATGTTCTCTACACTCGCTGTGCAGTTGCAGGGCTGTTATGCTCAGTCCGAAATGGATATGCAGCAGTTCGAGAAATACCCATCGCAGTTGTTATGCCTGAGTGCAAACATCCACTTCACACACAACATTGAAAGATACATGAGCAACGGGCAGCTACACCAACTAAAGGGAGATTTGCAGACCCAGCTTTCCTCTATGACGTCGCTGTCGTTGGATGGTGCCCTGCCGCAAGCAAAGCTGAAAGCCCTGATCCTAGATCTCATCCACAACATTTCGGTGTTGGATGACCTGCTGGTGCACAAGGTACAGAAGCTGTCCGAGTGGAGCTGGTACAGACAACTGCGCTACTACTTGAAGCAAGGGGTTAGCCCCGAGCAAAAACCTTGCAGTGTTCGGATGCTGGAGTGCGAGCAGAGCTATTCTTTTGAGTATCAAGGAAACGCTCCGAAGCTCGTACACACACCACTCACGGACAAATGCTACCTGACCCTTATGCATGGCTTGCATCTGGGATATGGAGGAAATCCGTACGGTCCTGCAGGAACAGGCAAGACGGAGTCTGTGAAAGCGCTTGGGTCGTGTTTAGGAAGGCAGGTGTTGGTTTTCAATTGCGACGAGGGAATCGACTTTCAAGCCATGGGCCGGATCTTCGTGGGTTTGGTGCGCTGTGGTGCCTGGGGTTGCTTTGATGAGTTCAACCGCTTGCTGGAGGAGCAGATGTCCGCCATCTCCCAGTCTGTGCAACTGATCCAAGCAGCCATCAAAAATAGCCACAGCACAGTTCATCTGCTGAATCGCGACGTGCCTGTGAATCACAATGCGGGAATCTTCATTACGCTGAATCCAGCGACCAAAGGGTATGGTGGTCGACAGAAGCTTCCGGACAACCTTAAGCAGCTCTTTCGCCCTGCTTCTTGGCATGACATGGCCACGAAAAACCTGCACCTTTCGACCGTACTCGTACTGTATGCAGCGCATACGCATACTGCATGCGTGACCTCCAGGGATCGGCAATGTTTCGCACACTTCGGATGGCTTTGGCGTTGCACGCAATCATGTTAGTGAGAACCTGCTCTCTCCAGTATCGCGTTGTTGCTGGTTGTGGCTGTTCTGAGGTGGCCATGAGCGTACCAGACAACGAGCTCATTGCGGAGGTGATGATGTTTGCAGAGGGGTTCGCGAGCGCAAAGGTTCTGGCACAGAAGGTCGTTGCTTTGTTTCTGCTCTCGCGACAGCTGTTGTCATCACAGCAGCACTACGACTGGGGCCTTCGAGCCTTGAAGCCGATCCTGACTCTGGCTGGCCGGCTGCTACAGGAGACAAAGGCTCAGCAGTCCGAGCCTTTACGCGAAGACGAAGAATCGGTGCTTCTTTTGAAGGCTGTTCGAATGAACACACTGTCCAAGTTGACCTTCGCCGACTCCAAGCGCTTTCAGGACTTGTGCATGGACTTGTTTCCTGGAATTAACGTGAAGGACATCGAGTACAAGGAGCTGGAGGCCGTAATCCGCGAAACCATGCGGGAGATGAGGCTTGCAGAAATTGATTCGCAAATTTACAAGATGCTGCAGTTCCACGAGGCATGTCAACAGCGCATGGGTGTCGGCATTGTTGGTCCCTCAGGTTGTGGGAAGAGCACGATCTGGAAGGTACTGGAAGCAGCCTACAAGAAGCAGGGCAAGAAGTATGTCGTTCACGTGATGAACCCCAAGTCAATGCACAGGGTTCGATTGTTGGGCTACATGGACCATGATACACGTGAGTGGTTTGATGGTGTTCTGACTGCCAGCGCCAGGAAAGTCATCAAGGAGCCATCAACAACTCACAACTGGATTGTCTGTGATGGTGACATAGACCCTGAGTGGGTCGAATCCCTGAATAGCGTCCTGGATGACAACCGTCTTTTGACAATGCCTAACGGAGAGCGTATCCAGTTTGGTACAAACGTGAACTTTGTCTTCGAAACTGACCATCTGCGATTTGCATCCCCAGCCACGATCAGCCGCTTGACCATGATCTTCCTGTCTGAGGAAGATGTTGACGTCAGACCTCTCGTGACCTCTTGGATCCTGAAGCAGCCGGAAGAGCAGCAGGCCCAACTGGAGAGTTGGTTTGATGAACTCTTCTACAGAGCATTGGATTGGCTTTACAAAGGGTCCCGAGAGATGGCGATAGAAACAACTCGTATGGGAATGGTCCAAAATGTTCTTGGCCACCTCAGCAAGGCTGAGGGTGATGCAGCTGTGACTGTTCATGATGAGAGTCCTGCAATTTCCAAGCAGAGTTTTCTGCTTGCTATATGTCGCGGATTAGGAGGCAACCTGTCAGAAGAGGATCGTGCTGCTTTGACCCGCGAGGCTTTCAAGTGGTCCAATGAGAACATACCCGATCCAAGCCAGCCTCTTCACTGCCAGGTTGTGGAGTCTCTCATTGTCGGGTACCAGGTTTCTGCGGGCACAGAGATCTCGCTCGAAGATGTGAAGCGGTCTGCAGTCCTACCTCCTTTGGTTCCAACTGCGACAGTGTTGCGCAACATGGACCTTTTCGCGACCTGGCTTGCGCAGGAGCAGCCCTTTGTCGTCAGTGGTCCCGAGGGTGCTGGCAAGAACCTCCTGATTCGACATGCCATTCATCGCCTGCAGAATGAATCTGATGCTGCTTTGAATGTTGCAGTTCTCAACTGCAATGCGCAAACATCCTCGAAAGATGTGCTGCAGAAACTGCGTCAGTTCTGTTCAGTGTCTACCGGCACCACTGGCCGAATCTACCGGCCACGAGAAGGCAGAAGACTGGTTCTGTACTTGAAGGATATCAACTTGCCCACGCCAGACAAGTATGACACCTCTGAAATCATCATGTTCCTGCAGCAGGCAGTGATGCACAAGGGGTTTTATGACGACGACTTGGAGTTTGTACTCCTGGAACATATCCAGATCGTGGCTTCGATTGCACCAGCGAGCACGCTCGGTCGACATCGTTTGGCAACTCGTTTCACGGCGAATGTCAGGGTTTGCTCAATCTCATACCCAAGCTCGGAGGAGTTGGTCGAAGTGTATACACACTTCTTGCGTGCAACATTCACATCACCTGAGTGGCAGAACGTGGCTGATAGAAGCCATGGTTTGTGCGAAAAGCTTGCAGAAGCAATGGTTGACATCTACGCCAGTATGAAGGGCAAGTTTACGATGGATGACCATGAGCACTACTTGTTCAATCCAAGAGATTTGACACAGTGGGTCTTGCAGCTTCTGCGCTACGAGGTTATGTCCGTGGACAGTCTGATCGAGGCCTGGGCCTACGAAGCCACGCGGATCTTCCGGGACCGGCTGGTGGGAGATGAGGCGAAATCCCATTTCGATGCGTTGCTCAGAAATGCTCTGATACAGTATGTCGGCGTAGATGTTGAGGTCGACAAGTTGATCTTCACAGCAATGCTGACCCTGAATGACGAGGGCGTACCGAGTGGTGACATGAAAAAGGTTTCTCCTGAAGACTACACAAAGATGGTCAAGGATGGCTTGAAGTCGTACCAGCGTGAGGTGAAAGATTTGGAAATTGAGCTGGTGCCAGAGGTTCTTGAGCAAATTAGTTGGATGGACCGTGCACTTGCTGCACCTGTGGCCAATGACTTGTTGGTCGTAGGACGATCTGGAGGTGGAAAGCGCTCGGTCATCTCTCTGTTAGCTCACATGCACCGCCTGGCAGTCTTTAGCCCTGCACCCGCACGGCGCTATGGCGACAAGGAATGGAAGAGGGACCTCAAGGCAGTGATGCAGATGACGGGTGTCGAGAAGCAGCACACCATCCTTTTTCTGGAAGATCACCACTTGCTGAAGTCTGAGTTCTTGGAATCCGTGAACTCTCTTCTCAGTGCAGGTGATGTACCTGGTATTTGGACACCGGAAGAGCTTGAACCACTGCTGGCTCCGCTGAAGGAAGAATGGGCTGCTTCACAGGGCAGGGGAGGCGGTGCAAGGACGCCATTTGAATACTTCTGCAACCAAGTGCAACAGCGCCTCCACGTCGTGCTCTCCATGGATCCGAATCATCCACACTTCTTGCCATACTGTGCTGCAAACCCAGCCCTGTTCTCATGCACGACTGTCTTGTGGCTTGATGAGTGGTCCGAGGAAAGCAAAACGATCATTGCACAACGAATTCTGGGCGAGATGCTGTCTCAGAAAGCAAACTTGGGGCCGCTGTTGCAGTACATCCATGCTTCTCAGGCTAAGGCTTCTCCAAGGCACTACATCACCCTTCTTCAGACCTGCCATGCCATGTACTCTGCCAAGATCTCCACTGCATCCGGGCAGTCCTCGCACTTGCAGAAAGGTTTGTCTAAGCTTCAGGAAGTGAGCCAGACCGTGGAGAGACTGCAGGAGGACGCAATTGCAAAGCAGAAGGACTTGGAAGAGAAGAAGGTGCTGGCAGCCGAAGCCTTGCAACGCATCACCGCAGCCATGCAGCAGTCTGCAGATCGCAGGCAGGAGGTGGAGAAGTTGGAGGGGCAAACTCAGCTAGAACAGGAGAAAAATAGTGCCGACAAAGCATCCATTGAAAAAGAGCTGTCGGAAATCCAGCCCATCCTCGATGCGGCAAAGAAGGCTGTCGGCAGCATCAAGTCTGAGCATCTCAATGAGATTCGGGCCCTCAAGATGCCTCCAGATCCCATCCACGATGTGCTCAATGGAGTACTGCGCCTCATGGGAAACTATGACAACTCCTGGGCTTCAATGAAGAAGTTCTTGGCAGGTACTGGTGCCATTCAGCGCATAGTCAACTTCGACCCCCGGCAGATTGATGACAAGACTCGTGTGGATGTAGAGAAGCTTTTGAGAGACAAGGCCAACTCATTTGACCATGCTACGATTTACCGCGTATCGGTTGCCGCAGCTCCCTTGGCCAAGTGGGTGGTGGCGTGCGTTCGGTACAGCACAGTACTGGTCAAGGTTGCACCAATGGAGAAAGCGCGTGACGATGCGGAAGAGTCTCTGCGTGCTGCTCTCGAGAAGCTTGCAGTATACAAAGATGAGTTGGTCCAAATCGATAATGATGTCCAGCGCCTGCAAGAACAGTTCGGTGCACGCACCCGTGATGCTGAAGTCCTTCGTGTTGACTTGGAGCGCGCAACTTCGACACTCGAGAAAGCGGGCAACCTCATGAGCAAGATGTCTGGGGAGAAGGATCGCTGGGAGTCCCAGGTTGCCGAGATCCAACAAGATGCAGCGCTTCTTTCAACCCATACTTGCCTGTCAGCGGCCTACTGCACCTATTTGGGGCACTTCTCTGAGGATATCAGACAACAGGAGCCGAGTTCCAACATGCCTTGGACTGTGCAACGGTCTTTCCAGTTTTTTCGCCCCTCAATCCCCCCCCCCCCCCCCCAAACCTTCTTTCCTTTTAGGCTAGATAGATTGGCCACCCCGTCCACCGATGATAAACGTGAGTGCCCTGGCACAGGCCAACTTTCTGTGGACCGAATCTCGTGGAATTACCACCTTCGATTTCCTGCGGATCATGTCTTCCGAAAGTGAGCTCCTGACTTGGAAGGCTCAAGGCCTCTCGGCTGACCGCCTCTCTCAGGAGAATGCGGTCATGATAAACTCTGGCATTCTTGTTCCGTTTATCGTCGACCCCAACAGCCAGGCTCTCGAATGGCTGAGGCAGACCAATCCGCATGCAGAGAGCGTCCTACAGCAAGACCCGAAGCTGGTCTCACAGCTGGAGCTCGCAGTCCGTTTTGGGAAGGTGCTTATCATTCAAGAGGTTGATGGCATTGACAACTATCTTGTGCCACTGCTTCGACGGGACATGATCCGACAAGGGCCAAGGCAGGCTGTACAAATCAGCGACAAAATGTGCGACTTTGACGAGAACTTCCGGCTCTTCTTATGCACCCGGAATTCCAGCGCAATTGAGATGCTGCCTCCCAATACAGCCTGCCTCGTCACGCGTGTGAACTTCACGGTAACGCGTGCAGGATTGGAAGGCCAGCTGTTGGGTGTGACCTTGCAGCACGAAAAGCCAGAGCTTGAGCACCGCAAGTCAGAGCTCCTGCAAAAGGAGGAAGCCTTGAAAGTCGAGCTCTCTGGTCTTGAAAAGACTTTGCTGGAGCAACTTGCCGACTCTAGTGGCAACATTCTTGAGAACGAGCCGCTCATCCAATCCCTTGAGCAAACAAAAGCTGCTGCGATCACGATCTCAGAGTCTTTGACGGAGTCATCCCGCCTGCAGATGGACCTTGATCAGCAACGTGAAGTATATCGTCCTCTTGCCACACTGGGCTCCCGAATCTTCATTCTCGTCAAAGAACTTTCTGTCATCGATCACATGTACCGCTTCTCTTTGGAAGCCTTTATGGCTCTTTTCAACAAGGTGCTCAATCTGCAGCTGGGTTCAGAAACGACTGATGACAAGCTGAGGCAGCTAGGAAACCAGCTGAAGATTGTTGTGCTCTTTTACATCTCCCGGTCTCTTTTCAAGGCCGACAGGCTGACATTTGGCATTCACATGGTCCGAGGCATCATGCCAGAGAAGTTTGAAGCAAATGAGTGGGAACTCTTCCAGGGAGTGTATATTCCAGCCAACCAGCCTCCAACGCCAGCTCCCGGGTGGTGTCCTCAAGACCGAGCAGCAGCGCTTCAGACTCTTCGTGCAACTTTCCCCAAGATCGATGAGCACTGGCAGCTCAACAAAGATGCATTGTGGGGTCCGTGGGTTGCATCTGACAAGTGTGAAGAGACCTTTGATGGGTCAGTGTACTCGCGCATGTCAGCATTCCAGCGGGTGCTCCTGATACAGGCTGTGCGACCTGATCGGCTGGAGTCCGCGTTGACCCAGTTTGCATGTGAAGCGCTTGGTGTGTCGTCCCTTTCGCCACCGCCGCTCAGCTTGAACCGGCTCTACAAGGAGGAGACGAGCAACAAACTTCCAGTCCTTTTTGTGACAACGCCTGGAGCCGATCCTTCCGCAGAGCTTGAAGACTTTGCCAAGATGCATGCAGAATCTGTGCCAGGTATGAACTTCCACCAGCTTGCCATGGGAGGCGGCCAGAATGATGATGCAATCAGGCTCCTACGTGATGCAGCCAACGTTGGTGACTGGGTGTGCCTGAAGAATCTGCACTTGGTGATAAGCTGGGTGCCACTGCTGGAGAAGGAGTTCAAAAGCTTGCAGCCTCACGAGAACTTCCGGTGCTGGCTAACTACCGAAGCACATGCTAAGTTTCCAACAATTCTGCTTGAAACATCGCTGAAGGTCACTTACGAAGCACCTCCAGGAGTCAAGAAGAATGTGCTCAGAACGCTTGAGTCATGGAACCATCATTGGTTTGCACAGGGAAATGACCTGAGGTCCAGAGTGATCTTCCTTTGTGCACACTTTCATGCCATTATGCAGGAGCGCCGCACGTACATACCCCAAGGCTGGACGAAGTTCTACGAGTTTTCCCAGAGTGATTTGCAGAGCGCATGTGAGACGGTCTCCTTGCTAGTAAAGTCAGGAGAAGCCTTCAAGTCTAGTCCCGGGGCACTTGGCATTGACTGGGTCACATTGATAGGCGTCTTGGAACAAGCCGTATATGGAAGTCGGGTTGATAACGAGTTTGACTCTCGCCTGGTGAGGGAGTACCTGGCGATGTTCTTCAAATCGGAGACGTTGGAGGGTGGCCGACGCAAGTCAGGGTTCGTAGAGATCCCCCCGTTTGACATCCCCGTCTCAACAAATATGGGCGACTTCCGCGCTCGGGTTGAGCAGCTGCCAGATCTTGACAATCCTGCATCATTTGGCATGGCGCCAAACGCAGACCGCTCGCTCCAGCGCATCAACTCTGCCAAGGCCATCTCACTTCTGCGCCAGCTGGCGACTAGTGGAGGAGATTCAGGTGATTCAGCCGCTGCCGCAGTTGACATCAAATTGTGGAAATCACAACTTGCCCCTTTGTTCACTATTTGGGACAACGTGAACAAGGGGCACCTGAGCAAACTCAAAGGAGTGGATATTCGGGCTGTTCATCCAGATGATCCACCTTCCATTGCATTCATCTTAATGGACGCTGCCGAAGCTTCCAGACTCGGGGAACTTGTCACTACTGCCTTGTCCACCTTGCAGCGGGTTGTGAATGGGCATGCCTTGAGTACACCAGACTTGCAAGTGCAAGCCAAAGCCTTGATTCGGGGTGAAGTGCCGGAGTCATGGTCCGTCACTTGGCCGTCTGCACCTGAAGATCCGTCGCTTTACCTCCAAGGGTTGGCAAAGCGTATTGCAGCACTGAAAGGCGACTGGGTGCGCCGTGTGCAGTCGCGGAGCATTCTTGCACAGCCCATTTGCTTGAGCGACTTCCTGCGTCCTGATGTTTTTCTCAATGCCCTTCGTCAGGAGACCGCCCGGAGGCTAGCTATCTCAATCGACAGCTTACATTTGGTTTCAACTTTCGAGCCGCACCTTCTCAGCGAGGAGTCTTCCCCGCTCCCAGTCACCGTGCAAGAGCTCATCCTTGAAGGCTGCGCTTTTGATGAGTCCAAACGGATGCTGATTGAAGGTCAGCGAAACTCTCCATTGGTATCCATGCTGCCCGCAATGACAATTTCCTGGATGTCAAAAGCCACGCATCCCGACCGAACGGCTTCGTCAGCTCGTGCAGCTGGCACCATTTCTTTGCCCGAGCCTCAGCAGCTTGGCAACTGCCCACTGGCAACACCGGCTGCTTGACAAAAGGCAGCTTGCAGCATGTACTTGGCATACAATGTACATTATCATGTGTCGCACGATGCTGCATGCTTCACCTGTTTGACCGTGTGAGTCCTTAGGTCTGGTTTCCAAATCTCATTAACATCATAAGCCAAAAAATGTGGAGATCAAGGTCGGTTGTCTGACTGAGGCCTGTGTATGCGTCTCTTACCCGAGAGCGGCTGATTGCGGAGGCCTGGCGGCCCAAGGGCAAGGGTTCACTTGGGCTTCTTAGACATGAATGCTTCTGATAGTGTTTTCGTCGGACATGTTCGTGTGCTCTGGGCACATAGCAATCGTTTTAATGACTTTACTCCTTGTCCCGCCGTAGACCAGAACGACGTTGTTCAGAAAAGTTGGGTCCTTCGGTTTGCCTCGTGCTTGTGTTGCATTTGACCTGCACGTGCAGTTCAACATGGGGGGGGGGGCGCTGGGTGGGGACGGCTTTTGCTGCATCAGGTTGAGCTGAGTACAGATAGCGCCCGCCAGCGCAAGCTCAACGCTGCAGCTTTGTTCTTGACGGAGAACGAGTGAATGTCGTTTATTGATCTGAAGGCAACAGCGCCAGGTTTCACAACATCCGGTTGAATTCAGCTTTTCCTAGATTGTCAGGACCTGCAAAAAAGCATCAGGTCATCCATTTGGCATGCACATAGTGCATAAGCCAGGCCAGAAGTTGTTTTCTACGTGAATTGAAAGCATGTCTATTTTGTCTTGTAAAAGCAAGCTCCTGCGATCGTGCACTGCTGTCAGACCTATGCATCTGTCACCTGCCCGAATGTCCGTGAATGCAGTAACTGCACTCAGCTAGCCAATGTAGACAGTCGGAAGCCATGATTGCCGCCATTTATGAGTTACGAGTGGCTCTCGGAAGGCTCTTGCATTGTTGAGCTATGTGGTGCTTTCTGGTTGCTCTCCAACATTTGTCACCATATGTCTTTCTGTGACATTTCTCAGTCCCCATAGTCCCCTCCTGAGTTTGCATTGTGGTTTCTGAGTAGCTTGTGCCGTTGTGGCGATGGCGGTCCTCAAAGCAGAGGTGTGGCGAGAGAGCTCCAGATCGCTGGCATGTTCCAGTTTCAACAGGTTGCAGTCAACTCTTTAAACCAGAACCAGCACCCTGTTACAACTCTGCATTGATCTGACATGATAATTCCGTGATGAACCATCAAACCATCCATGCTTCACTCAAGCCTTCCCAATCCACGAGGCGTTTGCTCTTGGGGCGGCGCCCGTGCCAGTTGTCAGGCGTGTTCCGCGAGTGTGTTCCGAATGCCCTGTTTGTACTAGCAGGCCAAGTGGCCGAGTACATGTCATGCCATGAATGATATTGAATGAGCATGCTCTGTCAGCGCAAGTGCTTCTTTTGGAGAAATGCGAGTGTCACTCGGGGACATGCAGGAAACTTTTCAGGCACCTGCGGCCGGTCAGCGCCTCCGACCCTTTGCAAAGCTGACGCGAAGCAAAGCGGTGAAGCCGGAAACAGAGCTTGCCTTGCTTCAGGGCCCTGCGTCGGGCATCCAGCCAAAGTGCCGATGGTAGGACATTAGTGACATTATGGACTCCCGATATGCCTGGGGTGGCCTTGGACGTGCCTCGGTGTGCCTCGGTGTGCCTCGGGCGCTGTGCTTAAATCAGCTGCCGAGCCAATGCAAGGACAAGAAGCCCGAGTGCCAACCGTTTCATCTCATGAACGCCTTGCCAAGGTATCACGCCTGTCCACATGATATGCGCAGTACTGGGTGGGCACAAAGTATGGACTTGTGTAGGGCGTCTGCAAAGCACAGCATCCTCCCGCACTCGCCACCTACGCCCAACGCTCGTGGCTGCAATGCAACACATGCAGCAATCAGTCCACAGTATCAAGTCAGTAGAACATAGTAGAACCACCAAAGCCCGATGCGTCCTGTCTACCCGAATGCTGAAAGACCTTCGGCCGACTTCGGCCTGACTGTGTCTTTTTTTAAGAGGGGCTTCTGTTGCAATTTTAGGGCGAACGCGTCATCCCAAGAACATAAAACGAACCGTTTAGCCGCGAACGCAACAGATTATTCACAGCAAATGGTCGGCTGCAGATACCGCATTGCTGCTTAAAGCAGACAGCCTGACAGCCACAACAAGAAGGTCCCTCTTTGAATTCTCATGCAGGCTTGCTTCAAAGCCAAAGCGGGCGCTGCGGGCACTGGATGACCTTCCAGATCGAGGCGCGGCGCTTACGACTGCTTCAGACTTCGAGGCAGATCGGTGCATGTGCCAGACATCTCTGGACATGCTGCGACATGCTGCGACATGCTATCTGTCGCTGCCTTTGTCGCTGCTTCTGTCACCACTGGTGCTAGGATCAAGAGGCACAACATCGGCAATCACAGCGGCAGTCTTGGCAGCGGGTGCCATGACGAAGAGGTCCCCGCGCATCTGTCTTCTGCCGCTTGCAGTCCCAGCCCTTGGAACCCATATCTCGCAAACATGTCCAAACTGCCTGCATGCCTAAAGTTTGTTATCATGCGGTTGTGAAGAGAGGTCCTGAAACAATAAACTTCAATAAGCCGAATTCAACCCAAACGCCCAAGCGCAGAGAGCTGTCACTAAGTCACAAGGCGAGCGGAGATCCGGGCCACAGCGCGGGTTCCCAGTTGGTTGCAATGTGTTTAAATTAGCGCACACGCAAATGCACTCGCGCAGGAGCTGGGCTTACGATTTTCTAGTTTGCGCTTGGCGGTTCAGGTGCTTCGTAAGTCGTCCCTTTAGTTTGCGCTAACCCTCAGGCATGGCCTTTTCCTGGCTTTGTAGCACAATGTAGCGCACTCGCGCGTGTGGATGCGCACAGGAAGTACGACAGAGTAACGCTCTCTCTCCATCTATCCATCTTTCCATTTCTCTTAGTTGTGGATGTCCCTTTCCGCAGAAGTCAGGAGCCTCCGGGGTTTGCCGGGGGTTGGACAGCGTGCGCAGGCCAATTAGTCTTGACTTGGCGGAACGAGGCCAAGAAGCCGCTGAGAGCCAGAACCCAGGCCCGAAGCCCAGCAGAGCACAACAATCAAAGAGGGGCGTGCCTTGAGGTGTCGTCTGAATTTCAATGTTGAATTTTCTAGTCAGCTTTTTGAATTTTGACCTTGCCCCGCCTGATGTTCAACCTTGTCCATCTTACATTGCTGGCATTTATTTCCAACCTTGCCAATCTGATCTCTAACATCGTGGTCCCACGGCAAGGCCCGTGGTGCTTTCAACTGACACGTTAAATCTCTGTGTTGAGTTGGGCGTCTTGGGAGATTTGCAGTCAGGTGGTTTCCCATGTTTATCAGGCTCGGGCTTACCAGTTAGTCTGGCTAGGGCTCTCCCTGCAAGCGCTTTAGCTCATTGCCTTGCAGTCAACCTGGCGCAGGGTTCTTGGCTGTAGGGAGCCGTTCCAGGGCACGCGCACGTGGGTAGGGTTTAGGGTTTAAGGTGAAGGTCTGAGGCTTGCGCTTTAGGATTCACTCAGGCTTTAATCGCTTCCAAACCCATCGTGAGAGCATTGCGCCGCTCCTAACCCCCGCGCTTCTTAAGCGGTGCAAGCTTGCCTCCAACACCAATGTGAATCCCTTCGAAACCCATCCTCCAGCATTGTGCTTGCACAAATGGGGGAGCTGTGTCTTTTCCCCCTTACCCTCGCGTTTCAAGCTGTGCAAGTTTGCGTCTAGCACAACAGTCATACGAGTGCGTGCTTGCAACACCATACCTTCCTGTTTTGTTTAAGACGTGCAAACTTGCTTCGAAATCACATATGAGTCTTTTCCAAATGTTTCACTTCCAAAGCAACCTTCTTCATATTGTCTACTTAAGAGGAAGACCTCTTTTCATCGGTGCTGCGGCATCCTCCCCGGATGTTTGTTTTGCGTGGCAAATCTAGATGATGAAGATCATTGTGAAGAACAACTTCGTTCACTTCCATGGTCCAAAGGAACCCTCTATACTACTATATGTTCTATGTTGAAGACGAAAGCTTTTATTGTTTCACCGGTATTTAAGGAGGAAAACTCTATTTCATCTGCTGTCATTGGAAAAGCTCTGTTTCTTAGAACAGCTCTTCGAATCCAGTTCAAACTTGCGTTGGGCCATGTTTTGGATGAGTCTGCCGGACTCAGGAACTATGTCTGACACATGCTGACATAATTTGACATGCTTCAAACTCCGTGATTTCTCATGCAGGTCCGAGCCGCCGCAGTAGACGACCGCGTAGAAACTGCGCAAGCCTGTGCTCCCAGTTCAGTTTTTCGGGCATCCGTGATGCATCTAGAGGTATTTTTTATGTTTTTGCGTGCGTTGACAGGATTAGCATGGATTAGCTGACAGACCTGAGAGGCTGATTCCATGGGACGCGGTATGGAGTTGGCCTTAAGAAGTGGCTTGAGATGTGGCACATTTTGTATCATTCTGGCCCACGTTGCAGACGTCATGCGGCCTTCCGGAGGTTATACCCATGACGAGAGTGGAGGGCTTGGAGGAGGTAAAGCTTGCTCTCAAGCTGGCCCATTTCTCAATGTTCCAAAATAAGAGTCAAAAGCTTGTCCCATTCCTCCAATGTTTTGCACTTTTTTCCGGCACTCCAACTCGCACTGGGACTTCAGGCCTGCATCGATCCTTCTCTGGGTGGCGTAGGCTTGCGTTCTTATTCTTCGTTTGTATTGTAGCATTCTGACATCGAAGGTTGCTCTAGCCCTGCTTTAGAGGAATCTCTGGTGGTCATGGAACCGGGAAGACGTTGCAAGCTCAGCTGCGGTGGTGAGTGCTCAGCGCGAAGCGATTGACAACTTGACAATGCAGGACATTGGCCCGCTCGCTTCGAGGAGTCCTCCCAAAAATTGAGGCATCGGAAAGTTCTCCCACCGACGCGGTGTGATCAGCCAATGATCAGTTATGGTTGCAGGTCGTCGCAAACTCAATTTGCAACTGTGACCCCAACAAGCCCTCAGAGTACGAGCCTCAGCCGCTGGCCGCTAGTTACCGCTAGTTCTTGTCTGCTCTTGTCGGTTCCGGTGTGTTTGCGTGGCAGTGCCCTTTGCTGATCTTCCTACTCCTGATTGCTGGGCGTATGTTTGACGGGTCAAAGTAGCTGTTGCAAGTCTTCTGGAGATCCGTGATGTTCCACACTCTTACTATGTAGACTTGCTTGTTTTGCAGTTGGAAACGTGTGCTTGATCGTCATACGGGTTCTGATTCAAAGTTGAAAGTTTCAAGATGGGTGTCGAACCACCTGAAAGTGCCTGACAGCCGTTTCTTTTCGAGGTGGGACAGGTTGACTCGCGAGCGACTGGATCGCGATGACAAGGTGCTCCTGCAGAGTTCTCAGCTATCCGATTATCCAGTCTGAGTCAAACTTCGTGCAAGGGTGATGTGGTGACCAAAGTGGTCGATTGCCCGTTCATTGAGCTGCAGAGAACCCAGACAGCAGCCGCAATTAGGACAGATCTGCATCTGACATGTCTTTGCTGAAGCTGTACGGTTCTTTAACAACAGCACCTCCCACACCCCTACATGTACATCCCTCCACACCTCCACCCCTACAACCTTGTAACCCGGCCCACCCCGACACCCTTCGCCCCTGCACTCCTGAAGGATGAAGACATGCCGGTTGCTAGAAACATGAGGGCCATTATGGGATGCCAGGATCAACCCTTCAGGCTTGAGCACACAGAGAGGCTCGATGCCGTCCCAGCATGCCTTAAGGCTGCGGGAAGCAGATGGAAGCAGTTGAAACTTCTTACAACTTCTTACAACTTACAGCAGAACACAGCGTAACGGAGAGTAGCAGACTTTTTGTATCTGAGGCCTTTGGGATGCACCGAAGATCGGCTGGTTGGTTCATTAGATGTCCAGGCGCAGGGAGAAGAACCACAGGGAGAAACAAGGGAAGCCTTGATGAGACTTTTGCCACCTTGGTCAACCTTGGGTCAACGGCCGCAGGCATCAATGGAAGCTGGACGGCCGATTTTTGAACCAGGTCTGTGTCGGCCTTATCCTGCGCATGAGAACGTCGGGATGTGGCCATGTGCAGCCCACGCACCCACAAGCACCTGCAGTCCTTGACGTGCCTTTTCGTGTCTGTTCGTGTCTTTACGTGTTGTGGCTCCAAGGCTTGCAAAGGCCCATAGGGGTGTTCTGTACATCGACGACGTCAACCTTCTTCAGGCTCTGCTTATCTGGCCGCAGCTTGATGAAGTACCCGCAGACTTTCTGACTATGGATGTATCCGCAGCGTTCGGTGCGCTATACTCCAACTGCCACTCCTACTTCTGAGGGAGGCACCAAGCCACGCCTTCTTCTGAGGGCAGCGCCAAAACTGGACAGAAAACATCGTACCACTACCCTCCAAGCAGCTAGCACGTCCTGAGTCCGACACCCAATGAAGACTTCTGATGTTGAGGATGACCTTGTCAGCTTGCTTCTGACGGTGGTCGCCTTAAGAAATCCGCGCATGCAGTACGGATGCGGCAAACGCTCGATTGCAAAGGCAGTTGAAAGCGGAGTGAATCGAGTTGAGCGTGAAGGTCTTTCTGTGGTCGAGTTCTTACTGACTGCTTCGAAAGACGTGCAATTGTGGCTGTGCATGTGGCTGTGCTTGTGGCTGTGCTGTGCTCTTCTCCGGGTGTCTGTGCTTTTGACCTACTGGTTAATTCACGCAGCTAGGCTTCAGGTACAGAATCTGTTTGATGCAGGCTGGCTGAGCCATTGTGGGAAAAACTTGTGAGCTGAGCTGTCTTTGCTGTTTAGATTGTATATTCTGGATGCTGACTGGCGTCATGTGTTGTGGTGGTATGTGTCGGGCTCCTTGGTGCGCTGCCCGCAGAAAGTTTCCATCACGAATCGGAATGAAATGCGGGCTCAGACCAGGTACGGGAGATCAGGTCCAGAGCAGACTCAAGCACCAACTCAACTCCACGAGCCAGCACCACCAGCAAATTGAGCACAGCTGCTTAAACGCAGCGTCTCCGTGGGGAGACCTGACTTTGATGATACGCGTACTTTGAATACATTAAAAAACTGCAAAAACCGTAGAGTCTGCCACATATGCGAGGTTCCTGCGTGTCGGCTGCTTCAAACGGAGCGTCTACTCGGGGATTCGTACGTCTTCCTTGCTGTATATTTCCGCCATTGATGCATACTTTCTGTGACGCAGTTTCTCACTGGGCTGATGCATGTTGATGCACATATTTTCACCGGATGAGGTGAGATAGGCCCGTCCTCTGAGGCTCATCCTTGTCGCCCCCTGGTTGTGGCCACATGGAACCCTGAGGAAGGCAAGCCCCCAAGGAGCTTCACGGTTGTGAGGACCTGTGATGAGACCTTGTGACCCTGTGAGCACTCTTTGTATCTCTTATTCCATGCCGAATGCAGGTCCGCTGAGGCCTCATCTCTTGGATCGGCTGGCAGTCTCGTTGTGAGCTCGGTGTCAGCTTTGAGAATCCTATGAATCCTCCAGCAGATGCGTTGAGACATGTTGAGACGAAAGTTGGGAAAAGGTTGAACACCGACATCGACACGGTGTACACCGATCTAGACGACCGTGTGAGTGCCACCAACGCAGCCCTCGACTTTGCAGAAAGGCACGCGCTTACGGCACGTGTGCATCGTGCTGTCGACAGTCCGGGCTGCTGTTCCTTCATGTTCCATCTGCAGGCCAGCACAATCCCTTGAAGAGAGCAATGCCGACATTTCTGCCATGCAGTTGTGCTCTCAGCAGCCTGTTTGCACCCGAGTCCAAATGTTGTATCGAATTGGTTGCAAAGGACTCAGCTGCTGTTTGCACGGGAGTTCCTCAATGATGCCGGAGGCTCATTCGCTGACTTGGGCTCCAGCACAGGCTTCATCTCGCTGAGCTGGAGTCGCAGCGCATGTGGCTGGTGGCTGTCCTTGCCATGCCTGCAGAAGCAGAACACCGGCTACGGCACATCGCCTCACGTTGATCACAAGAAGCTGACATGCTGGTGAAGCATTGCATCTCCCCGGAAGCATTGCCACATTTTTCTAGAACTGTGCTTCTCAGGCTACAGTGGTACAGCTGTTGCAATTTTCGAAATTAACAAGTTTGGTTACGGCCGGCAACAATATTTTTGGCGTGGATGAAACACTGATGAAACCATACACTGGATTTAATTGTGACGACCCTTTCATTATACACGGCGTGCCTCGTGCCAAACATAGCTGTGCATGACTTGAAAGCAGCACCGTAGCTTATCAGCTGGTCTGGAACTGATGGTAGTCACAGTCTGCGTGTCCTTGGCGTGCGTGGCGTGAATTTTCGACCCAGGATAAATGATGACGATGATGACGACCCTTCGCGATGACGATGATCCCAATACTGCTCATGACAAAGCTTAGTTTTTCTTATCTGTTTAAAACGCTGTCGGCCTTCCGCTGCCTACTAGTTCCTCCCTAAGCAGGTCTCTTCTGCAGCCAAATAAACTGAAAGAGGGGCCGGGCCGGTGAAACAATCTTCTCCGGACTTGGGCTCATGGTGGCCATGGGGTTAGCAGCGCAAAGGACATTGTGACTGGACTAAGCATCTGAATAGTCTATCGAGGCTCAGGGAAGGTTGAAAGAAAAGTTCCTGAAGGGTCCGCATGTCCACAAGCAGTATGCACAAGGCAGTATCCAAAGAGCGGAAAGGGGTTGATGGGGGATGGGGGTCCATAGCAAGGCCCAGAGAGCAACCCAAGAGTCCACACACCGTTCCATATGCCATAAGAGTTCTCCCAAATGCCTCACTCTCGGGCCCCACGCGCGGAGACTTTGGATGCCAGCAATAAGACTTAAGCTCCCACTTGAGCCAGGACAACGGCTGCTGCTGCTACTATTTGCTGCAGTGAAAACCCTGCGTAGGGGCAACAGTAATTTCTGGACCCGCGTGTGACGCAAGCACCGGCCGCTGTCTTGCACTTGCACATGGTTCCATTTCCGTCCGCACTGTGTACCTGGCCTTGGCGGACATGCCGCTTAGTGGCTTCACCCGCAGAGACATGCACCGAATTTCATGCCTCAGGAACATGATTCGGCTTGTGCCGTCGAACTGTGGGGCGCAGCGACTCACATGTACTGAGTGGCCGGCAGTTTCTGCTTTTGCAGCTTCTGCTTCTGCTACTACTGCTTCTGCTATCGCTACCTCTACTGCTACTGCTACCACTAACTACTACTACTACTACTACTACTACTACTACTACTACTACTACTACTACTACTACTACTACTACTACTACTACTACTACTACTACTACTACTACTACCACTCTAGTACTAGTACTAGTACTAGTACTAGTATTAGTACGACGACGACGACGACGACGACGACGACGACGACGACGACGACGACGACGACGACGACGACGACGACTACTACTACTACTACTACTACTACTACTACTCCCACCACCACCAGTAGGACTTTGTGCTATGTAGTAATGTCGTTTGTACTATGTGCTTTGTGCCATGTACTATGTACGTACTACGTGCTAGGTGCTGGCTACGTACTGCGTGCTATGTACTACCACAACACCTGGTACTATTCCACCTGCTGGTGCTGCTGCTGCCAGTATACGGCTCTTGCCACTGGGTTACCCGGTGCAGCAGCGCTCCAAACTGATGAACACCACGAAGCTCTGCAATTCAGTGTAATGCTTTATATCGTGTTTTGTTTTGGCTCGTCTGGCCTAGCAAATCTGTCAGTGCTTATGGTCGGGTATTGGCAAGTTAGGATCAGGCTTCAAGGCTTTATATAAGTGGAGGGTTTCACCTTCACCATTGCCCAGCTAGGCCAGGGGTCTAGGTTGGCCAGTCGAGCTGGGCTAATGGTTCAAAGCTCAGTTCGCTGATGAAATCCTGGGTTTCCGAAAAGTTCTGGACCTGTTCATTTAGCGATTTAGCGATGTGGCAAGTCCTAACCAGAAGGACCCAGCTTCGAATCCAGTTGCCCCGCCAAATTGAGACACGTTAGCGTTATCATTGTGTGAGGGGGCTCTTGGGGGCCCTCGAGACCACAGAATTGGGGTTGTACCAAATCCACAAGTGCTATTACTGGCGACGACGACGACGACCACCACCACCACCATCACCACCACCACCACCACCACCACCACTACTACCACCAACACGACGACGACGACGACGACTTCTCCAGCTGCTGCTGTTGCGGAACCCACTACTACTGCTACTGCTACTGCTGCTACTGCTGTTGCCACAGCTACTACATGGGCATGGAGACGCTGAAACACAGCCGTTGTTTGCCCCCGAATCGCATGTAGCCTGCTTCGAAGATGTTGTCGTCATCGGCCAAGGGTCTTTGCAGAACTTGTCATCTTTCGCTTGAAGGTCACAATCAGCCCCGATCAGCTCCAGCGCTTAGCAGATGAGTCTAGCCGAGGTGGATGCGAAGGAGAGACCAGCAGCGCATGAAGTCGTAGTCCTTGCCATGAAGAGCCCAAGCCAGCTCCTGTCAGACCTTTACATGAGGGCTGTTTGTGCAGGACACCGTGGGGAAGTATTTGCTGTGAAAATTGCGCGTGCGCACGCAGCCCTTCAGGGTGTCAAGCTCGGCATGCCATGCTTTACCACTGTTTGACGGATGCCATGCCAAGAATGCATCAACTCGTGAGGTCGCGATGTCTGCAATGCTGAAGACCTAAAAGAGGCAATTAAACTGGCTATTCTGTGCAGGACTCAGGATGCATGAGAAGTGATGTTGCTGTAGGCCGGACCACACACTGGACAAACATAAAGTGTGCTGCAAGGCCACGCATCCGAGTGCAGGAAGCCAACATGCAGGAGGAGATCGAGGTACTGCAGCTGGTCGCTACGAGTCTTGAGAGTCTTGAAGGGTTTTCAACATGTTTCCAACACGCTGGATGGGACCCGATGTTTCGAGGTATCATAGCATATTCTTGTAGCCAGTAGCCAGGATAGCCATTCGCAGCCGCGGATGACGTCAGGAAGAGGAGCCTCCTCCTCCACCACCTCCGCCGCCCCAGCCGGATATGGAGGATCCTGAGGCAAGGCGACCAGAGCCGTCATAGCAGGGCCTCCTCAGACAAGAACGGGGAGAGAAAGCCTCGGAGAAAGGGTTGAGGGGGCGAGAATGAGACGAAAAATAGCGAAAAAAACCAACATCACAGAACAAAGCACCAAATAGAGAACCAGCTGTTTGGCTCGGAGCGCTTTCTTGCAGGAGATGGAGCCTCCTCCGCCACAGGCACAAGTGTCGAACGCATTGACTGCCTTGCAGTGAGAGTAGCAGAGTAGCTGGCGCTGTTCGTGCTTGTGCTGCGGTGGCGTGAGCAGGATCAAGAAGAAGAGGATAGACAGGAAGAGGATGAGCCGGAACAAGAAGAGCAAGATGAGGTGCATCAACGCCATCTGAAGTTTCCTGCCACTGCCAGCATCGATAGCAAGCATTCAGGAAGACCAAGATCCAGATGTGCCAGAGGAGTTCATGATTGACCCAGAAGGCACAGCTGCCAGCAACTGCCAGCCTTACGGATAGTTGACAGTTCTGGTCGCATTTCAGAGCATTCGTTCTGCACGTGTGCTCCCAATTTCGGTTGTTACACGTAGCAGGTTATCTGCGGATATCCCGGTGTTTCAAAGCAGGTGCTGTGGTCGACCCCGACCTGCTCAAATTTCAAAGCCAGCAGAAGAAGAGCGGCCCCAGCCTCGCTTGTGTGAAGAAGCACCTTTCGAACACGTGACTTTATCTGTCGCGGATCTTTGGCTCACCAGTCGTACGCTGAGCTGTTAGCTTTCGCTGTGAAAATGGGCGCCCTCTTTTGATGCATTGATTGCAGCAGTTCGTGAAGCAAGAGCTTCTGTCAGTTGGCAGCGGGGCCTGTGCTGCCTCGATCCATGGCTGCCGTGGATACCGGGCCGGACGCCACCATTGATGAGTTCCTTGGTGAGAGCCCCCGTAGAGCCGGCGGCACCCGATCGCAGGATCTCCGACCACCTCCAGGACTTGCGATGCCAGGTGAAGTGGTTCCAGCTGATGCCTGGTGGGAGCCCTTTCGGGGGCGAGCTGCTTGCAGCCCAGGGGGTGATGTTCCGGTGCCGCGCAACGAGCCCGTCGAGACCACCACGGCAGGGGACCTTGGTTGGAATGAGCCCGATCCTTTCCCGCCACTTCGGCAGGACTTTCCTGATAGGCCGACTTGGCGATGTTTGCAGTGTGACAGCGATGCTTGGGAGGAGCGTGAGCGCGCCCTGTGGGTGTGTTTGAGATGTGGCTCCACCCAGTTCTACGATAGCACTACCCCGACCAGGAGAGAAGCTGCGAGAGGAGTGTGGATGTATATGCCACACCGGTTGCAAGACGAACCTTCGGCGACCACGACCTCAGAGTCGACAGCTTCTCTGAGTACTGCCCCAAGGCCGTGGTCTCCTACCCCGCCTTCACCTTTGCATCGGCAGCGACGACCTCCTTCAGAGCCTTCGGCCGGTGAGTGGGACGAGGCTAGAGCTGAGTCTGAGGCACCCACCTACGACGGCTCCATTGACCCGGAGACTCTTCGGCCTTTGCCGCGGCTTTCAAGGCGGCAGAGGCGAGCGGCAGCTGCGGCGGCGCCTGGCGCACGGCTTCAAGAACCTCGTTCTCCGCAAGTACGGCGTGCTGTGCTACCTGAGCCCCCAGGCGTGCCTCGAGAAGACGACCCGAGACGTGACGGATGGCGAGATCAGATGCTGCATGACCTCGGCGATCTGCGGCTCCAGCAGAAGCCCTCCAGCGAGTGGAATAGTAGGAAGGGCCCCGAGAAGGGGATCAAGTTCAGAGGTGGCGCTCCGCCGGCGCCGCCGGCTTGGCATTACAACAAGGACGACCTTCGCGCCTACGATCGGTGGGAACGCAAAGTTCGAGTGTGGCAGCTTCAGGTCGCGAGCTACCTTCCCGACAATGAGGCGGCGATGGCTTTGTTCGTGAGCCTGAAGGGCGAGGCCGAGGACGAGCTTGAGACCGCCGACTTGAAGCGTATTAATTCCAAGGATGGCGTCGATTTCATTTTGGACACGTTGCGCAGTGCCCTCAAGACTCGTGCTATCTATCAGAAACGCAAATACATCCATGACTTCGAGCACTTATCTCGCTTCAACAACGAGAGCGTCAGGAGCTTCTGCAATCGGTACCACCGAGTTGAACGTGCGCTTCTGTCGTGCGGAGTTGACATAGCTCCGATGTACGACAGCGAGGCCAGGGGAGCGCGGCTGCTGGAAAGATTGCGCTTGACTAGCGAGCAGCAGCGCATGATATTGATCGGGACAAATCAGGCGCTGCACTTCGACGCGGTCAAGGAGGCGGCGCAGCTTCAGTTCCCTGAGCACCGGCCGATTCCCCCGGTGGTTTTCACTCGTGAGTTCGATGGTGGCAAGCAGGCGCAGCACGAAAGGCTCCAGGACAAGGGCCAGCCAAAAGGGGCCGGCAAGACAAAAGGCAAGCCGAAAGGCAAGGGCAACAAGGGCTACAGCGCCTACGTTGCCGACCATGCCGAGGAGTTGGGCGGCGAGGACTATGAAAACCTCGATGGCATCCCGGAGGACGGCGAGGAAGTCGAAGACGATGGCGATGCGAACCCCGTCGACCCCGAGGAAGAGGAGCTCCTTGCCGACGGCGACGAGACCAACGACAACGACGAGATCGCCCAGGCTATCATGGAGGCAGCGGGCGTTCTGACTGTAACGGCTCGCCGCTTGCAAGGAGTTCGCCTTGGCAGGAAATTCACAGGTGGCAAGGCGACCATCGAGGAGCGCAAGAAGCGGTCAAACTGCTCAGCTTGCGGGCGGCAAGGGCACTGGGCGGGCGATGCAGAGTGTCCTGTCAGCAAATCCAGCGTGGGCAAAGGCCCGCCAAAGGGCGTAGCCAAGGCGGCGCCCAAGGCCGGCAAGCCAGTCAGCGGCAGCTCCAAGGTCATGATTGTGCGTTCCGAGGGCACTCCTTCGACTCACGAGGCCGGAGCTGAGGACCCAGACCACGAGAAAGAGTATGGCAGCTATTTCACCACTTTTGTTTGTGCAGCTTTGCCGGTGGCACACAACGTGTCCGAGGTCCTTATCACCAAGCCGGCCGACTTTGCTGGCTACGCAGTGCTCGACACCGCCTGTCAAGAGACTGTGTGTAGTGGCAGCTGGTTGCAAGGCCAGCAGAAGCTTCTTCGGCAACACAAGATGATCGTCAAGACTAAGCCTGAGAAGGAAGGGTTCCAGTTTGGGTTTGGTCCCGTGCAGTTCAGCTCTGAGCATGCGTATGTGCCCGTCTCCCTGGACAATAGCGTGAGCACGTGTTGTTTGTTCGGAACCAGCGTGCTGCACGAGAACTGTGAGATTCCTTTGTTGCTGAGCCTCTCCATGATTGAGCGCAAGTTGCAGGCGGTTCTTGATTTTCCCAAGGGGTGTGCATATTTTGGAGCATTTGGCATTGAGGTTCCCATTGTTAAGATCAACGGTCACTTGTGCATCAGCATTGCCAATTTCCCTGGAGACCGGTCACCTTGGAAAGTGTTGAGCAGAGTTTTGGATCAAGGTGATCCCGACCTCGAACTGGTGAGGCAGCCCCTCGAGCCCAACACTACGACAGTGCTACATGGAAACGAGCCGGCCTCCGCCTCAATGGCTGATTGCCTGGCGCCACATGGTAACCTTCCTCACGAAGGCCGAGATGACGCTGGTGAAGTTCATGATGCAGACCGTGAGGCTTGGGTTGCGGCCACGCTCGTGGATAGCTCACTGCGATCCGGCGCATCAGGACTTCACAACTCGGATCCTGGAACAGATGGTGGCACCGTGCTCCCATCCTACGGCGTCGATGGCAAGGACCGGGAACCAGCACGGAAGTTTTTCCCGGTGCACTCTGTGCGGGATGCGGTGGCGATGGGCCCTCGGGGCGTGGGAAGAGCTGCCATCCTCGCGGCAGCTGCCGCTTCCGCAGCCCTCGGCAACTTCCTCGGCGCGACCGCTGTGGGCTCTGCAGCTGGCGCCAGACTTCGCGTCTACGACCCGGCGGGTGACTTCGGCGAGGACACGCTACGTCCCTGGAGCCAAGGCCACGCCTCGAGACACCAGGATTTTCCCCGATGGCGTGATGCTTGAGCGAGGAGGAGATCGAGAGGATGCGTCGAGAGGTGGAGCTTTTCGACAGACAGACCACGGAGAGGGCGCTGGCTTCAGCTCGGGCCAAGGCCGCAGCAGCAGCGCCAAGCCCGGACACCGACGAGGAGGACTACGATTGGAGCCTGGTGCTGGACCCTTGAAGAGCGGCACCAAAACATGGATCACTGGCTTTCTGCGGCAGGCCCAGCGGATCTACGAGGACGAGATCGACTCCTACGAAGCCCTTCCGGTGTATAAGCAGGTTGCGAACGACTACCGCATCGATGTGATGAACGTTGGGGCGGGCATGGGTCGCTTCACTGACTTGTGTCCGCAGTTTGGTTTGAGCTTTCTGCAGCCTTCGCTCTCACAGGACTTTGTCGATGACCCCGGCTTCATGGTCAAGGTCATCGAAAAGTTCAAGCCTCTGTGTGTGATGATGCGACTCCCTGGCCCTGCCTCTGCCGGGCAAATTCAAGAGAGTTTCGTGTCTGAGTGTGCCCGGGCGTTCATGGAACAGGGCGCTGCAGGGCGTCTTTTCCTTTGTGAAGGTGCCCCTGATGCTCCCGCCTGGCACCTCGAACCGATGATCCAACTGGCTCAGGCGCAAGATGCGAGGCTTTCCCAATGCGATGCAGCGGCTTATGGTGCTGAGACGGCCAATGGTATGCCCGTCGCGACACAACACCAGTGGCTGACCAACTCCAGCGTGCTCGCCGAGACTTTGAACAACAGCCTTGCCGAGCACTGCCGCTACTACTGCGACCCCAACGGTGACACCAACGACGACCTCCACGACAACGTGTTGTTTGCGCTGCTGGAGGGGATCGTCACCGAGGCCCGACGCAGGTTTCCGAGCCGCTTTGCTAACAAGGGCCACCAGGTGTTTTTCGCAAGACCGAGCCCTAGCTCCGAAGCATGGAAAACCGTTCTCGATGACATTGAAGCCAGGTTTTCCAACACGCATAAAAGACCCTTCTACTTGACTGCCGGCGACCCTGCGCACCAGGCTGTTTCTGAGCTTGTGCCCTGGGACTTGACAAGGGTGCAAGCTGTTTGGACACCACAAGCTCGCCGGCTACCACAGGAGTTTCCCTTCACCCACCGCGGCGCTGCGATGAGGCTCACCACTGGCGACTTTGCTCTTGAAGCTGAAGACCTTGCATCGGTAAGCTTTCCAAAGCAGCGTTTTGTGCAGGCTGTGAGGGTGGCAATCTTCTTCTACGGCATGCCCAAGAAGCCGCCTGAAGAAGAATACCAAGAGCCCAAAGAGCCACATCCGCCGCCTGAGGCCGAAGTTGAGAACACTGCGGATCGACCCGAGCGCCGCCTACCTGGGCGATTCATGAGCAGACAGCCGGTGCCGGGCCTTGATACTGAAATTTGGTTTGAAGGCAAGGTTGACAAGAGGTTGCAGGCATCATTGGCACGCCTTCATGTCAACATGGGCCATGCGCCCCGGGCCGAATTGGTGCGCATGCTGGCGGCTGCTGGCAACTTGTCTGGAAAGGTGCTCTCTGCTCTTGACAACCTCCGTTGTGGAAGCTGCCTTCGAACCCGACTTCCACTACGAC